TTTATTATTATGTAGACACATTTAAACTTTTTTCTGAATGTAGCTTTTAACCTAATTTTAATAAAACACATAAACAAATAGCAAGAGGTCATTCATCGCTTGGTAAATTAAAGTCAGTTTAATGGTGCTAACCATGTTTGCTGGATCGCCCCAGCGGAAACTTTAAACTGTTGACAGTCCGTTTGTTTAGGGCCACGAACACGTCTTTGCGGGGCGAAAGTAAATATTGAGTTTCGACCGGATGGCGAAGGGCAGTAGAACAAAGGGCGGGCCAGAATGGAGTGGCATCTGATAGTGACGCATCCTCCAATGGGAAGCCTCTCCAGCACTTTCGCCCCAAGGTCATGTGTGTGTTTGGCATTTGTTGGGGGAATCCGGACGGCAGAAATATAAATTTAATCAAGTGGCCATCGTTTATTTCCCTTTTGATTTCGACAAATTCAATTGACATTCGATTTTATTATCTCCGCTCCCCAGACCCGATGGCGTACAATTACTACACGCTTTGTAAATGCATTTCATAAATTTATGATGCCGGCAGATGACCATTTCCTCGAGGGACAGCCCTTGCCGGGGATGTGTAATAAATACGAATCCGCCTGTTTATCCGTTGTTGTGCCAGTATTTGTATTGGAAATATTTCATATACCATCCTTTCGCATGGCCCGGATATCTCATTTTATATCTCACTTTGCCATTTCAAGCGGGAATTTCTGTGGTATTTCTTGCTGGCCTCAGAGTCATTTTGCCCACGACCCATTGAGGTTTCCCAATGTTTGTGCGGACACCAGCTTACTGGCGTCCTGGCCACGGCACATAGATTTTAATTAAGTCCACTTTCCCCCAATTTAATATTTACAGAGATGGTGTTAAGCATGGAAACTTTGCTCTATGTTGGGAGTGCTTCCCTGAAAAGTCGGGGGATCCGCCCGCCCCCAAAAAATTAAAGTTCAAGAAGCGAGTAGCGCAAAGTTTTCCTTTCTGCTGTGAAAGTTTGCGGGGGCAGTTCCCTGTCGTTTAAAGAAAAGCCAAAATAACAAACAAAATCTTGAGGTTGAAATGAAAAGTGCTTGTTTAAGTTAAGAGAGCATTTCAGTGGGTCAAAGAGCGAAACTTTTTTCTTCTCTTGGACTGAAAACTTTCGGAGTCAGTCCGAAAACGCGACGAAAACGAATTTTGAGCCCACAAGTGGTTGCCTTTTTATCAAAAAGAGAGAAGGGGTAAGATTTTAGCCAGAACCAGAGGAGTTTGGGTAAGTGCATCCTGCACATTCCAGGACTCAAAACAAGCCCTTGTAGAATGGCATGCTTTTGACAGAGAACAAATTAAACGAACTTTTCCTTTTAAAAGTTAAAGAAAATTAGAAATTTCATAGATGTCTCAACCCATTTAATTGGCGTTTCTATAATCAGTTTTACATAAACGGGGAGCCCGGGATAAACCAAAAGGTAAGGTTAATCTCTTTGAACACAAGGATACGCGGTTGACAAACCAACCCACACGAGCAGTTTGCCTTGGGGTGGTGTACACTGTAAAGCAAGAGGAAACCGTATTTTAAAATAAATAATACGTTACAGATATTAATAATTTTTTAATTTAAATGAATGGTTAAGCCAAACAAGCTTATTTTATTCTTGTTTAAACATTTTAGTCGAAGTGAGTCGCGGGTAACAAATGTATATTTCAGCAAAAGATTCCAGCTGTAACCATGTTACAATGATACTGCGATGTTTTCCTATCTGTAGGCCATGTGTGCCCACACAATCACCGTAGACACCGCAACTACAACAATGGGCAGCCTGACAGGGGTTTCGGCGGGGCGGGGTGAATCCGCTTTTGTTTATCTACTTTAAACTAACATCAGGCACTTTTGCCATCTAATCCTGACCAACCCGACAGCTACTTAATGTCGTCAGTGTGCCACTCGCTGGCATTTTCAACAAGGACATTTGGAAGTGCACAGCGATCCGGGAGGGAAAGGATGGGGGTTCGTGGGGGAACAGAGGTCGACGACGCTAAACGTTTCCCATAGAGCTCAGATTCACCGAGTGCAAATTGAATAATCGTTTGCGCTTCGCCGCATCCACAAAAAGGACCTTTTAAAAGTTCCTCGGTCCCTTTGTCCCTCTGTGTTTGTGTGTGACAAATATCGATCATCAAGGACGGCTGATGGACAACGACGAGGACGCACAATTGTTTGGGTTTATTCTAATGCTCCGCAAAACTTCTGACCGAGTTGTCTGAAGAGTTTTCTTTGCCAGTTTCCTTTTTCATGTGAAAAACTTTGGCCGTCCCTATTTTGTCAAGTTTGTCATTTGTTGGACATTTATAAGCAAATCCAGATTCGGGTCCGGTGTGAGTGTGGGTGTGGGTGTGGAAAAGGACCTTCTCATGGGCCTTACACTGCGGGTCTCGTTAGCATACATTGAAAGCGGGTTTGGTTTTGCTACCGAACTCTCAGGAAAATGGAATTGAATGCCCATCCCGTGGAGTTCAACTCGACTGTGAGAGCTTTAAAAGTATTTGCAAGTTCAAAAGTAGCAGCAGAATATTTAATTCACTTCGGAACTGCTCAAGCGGCATTGGACTGGACTGAAGGGGGCCAAAGTTATGGATTAACAATGCTAAATGGTTATTTGTCGTTTTAAAAGCATTACACTTTCAATGTTTTTTATGGCTAGTTAATATTGGGAAGTGTTTGTATTAGATAATAAAAAAATACAATTTTATTTAGAAAGTTTTTCAGAAGTATGTTTCATTGAAAACTCGAGTTCAAATGTTGCGAGAACCATTTACTGAAACTTAAAGTATTTATTAACATTTACTTTAATATAATATTATTCGACACTTCATTGCCAAAATATTCTGAGTTTCTAGCAGTTAATTGTGAAGGTTTGTGTGCAGCCAACTCCTGTTTTTATTTACACCCGGATGAGTTGCACAAGATTGCTCCGCGCTTAGAACTTTGATCCCTTGCTTAAACGCAGAGCACTTTTCACTTAGCCAAAACTTTCAGCCAACGCCAAACCAAATACGAAGCCAATGTGTTCCTTGAGCTCTTCGAATTTGTCTTGGATCAATCCCCAGGAGCTAGAGGATTCTTTCGTCGTGAGTTGGCGAAGGCATACAGCAAGGACTTAACTTTTGCCGGGTACCATTGAGACTTCCTTGAGCCTTGGGCGCTGGCCTTTTCCGCCCAGGTTAAGGGCAAGCGAAATAGTCGCACGGAGCTTGTGTCTGTGCACCTGGCCACTGCCATTGAGCCACAAAGACACAAATATGTGCATAGCATTTACGAGGGGCCATCGCTCTTGGCCGGACATTCGGGTGCACGTGTGGATAAAATTCAATTTCGAGCCATTGACAAACAAACGTGATGAATTCCGGGTCTGAGGATATAACGTGGAATTAATGCGAGCCTGTCGAAGGTCGTCCCCCGTTTAAGCCATTCGTCGAGGACTCCGATGCTTTTGTGAATTTTATGTGGCCATAAATCGCCAGCATAGTAGCCATCCCTCTATCTCAATCCTTTGCTATTCCTGTAGCCGGCGGATATTTATGGCTTCACTGCTGGTTGTTCACACAGAGAACGTAAAACAAAAATACAAGTGTCGATTGTTTTCCAATTTGTGTAATTTGTTGTTTATTTTGTTTATAACTACATCAATAAATTATGTATCGTATCGTATAATTCATAATTATACTCTTTGAAAGCGTGAGAACATTCTGGAATTGCAATTCGGCAGCTGGGTTCCTGATTCTGGTTCTACTAATTCATTTCGAAGTGGTCGTCCGTGCCGGCTATTCGGCCCCCGATTCTCCCCAAGTTAAGCAGCCTCGCTCGGAAGTCTAGGCGATTTTCAAAGAGTATATGCGGTAAGTATTTCCGAAACATCGGCCAGCCGAAGATTTTTGAATTTGCAGTTATGTTATGATTAACTTGATGACAACATCGAAGATCGAAGATCGATTGTGGGTACTACTAAGACCGTCTCATTCTTTAATTCTCCTCCTTCAACTTGGACACGTTTAGTTTAACTTTAGATTGATATCTGCTTGCTAGCTGGCTAGGCTGTCTAGTTACGATAATGTCTGCATTCCTAATTTAATTCTCTTAGTTCGCGCAGCGTAAGTCGTGTTTGCAATAGCTTTCTCAGATTGACTGGGGGACTGGTTAGTATCTGTTTGTGGTTTAGTTTGCTTGGGTGCGTGTGGTATTGTGGTGCGTGGTGTGGTGCGGAGAACCGAATTAATAAGGCCACTTATCCATATATATGCGTACGTACTCGTCGTATATAGTAAATAGTCAGTTATGCACACTTCCCCTGCCATCCGATTGCCAAGGACACTGGGCTACCTGCTCTACCTCGCATTTCTGATAATCCCTCGCTTTTGTTTCCCTACCGCTCCGGGTCGAAACGTATCTACTGAAAAAATCGCTTTAACTCCTAGCCTTAACTAAAGTGGCCTCTAGGTATTTTGCGTGTGTTAAGAGTGGGTGAGAGAAATTCCATAAATTTTGTGTGGCTCTAGAATTGATAAGTGTGCCAAATTTGGTGTGTGTTTGTGTTTCTGTGTCTTGAATATTTATCTATCCGATAAAGCTGCAATTATTTTGCGCTTGCTAGTATTTAATGTTGAACAATACTTTGTTAGTGGCGGCTACTTTTAATTATATTATATGCTTATTAGTTCCGATTTGGGGCTAAGGATTCGTTTCACTTGTGGTTGTTACTGGTAGTGCATTCGCTTTCTATTTCAGGTTACGTTTACATGGTTACTATGCCATCTCAAATTGTTCATGTCGATCACTAAGCCGAGGATAATCTAATTAACTACGTTCTCATTATTGTTATGTTCAGCTCAAGTTTCTGCATCCATGTACATTTACATATGCTAATAAAAATCCATCTGCGGACCCCCACAGCCCGCCGAAGAGTCGAGCGACTCTATCGAGCATGTGGGACTCCGGTCGATGGACCGACTCCAGTTCATTTAACTATGTTCGCTACAAATGTATATTTGCCGATTTGCCTCTGGGCTAAATGTACAGTAACAGATATAGGCCTATATATAGGTTTGCTTGCGGCATTCGGTCTCGCTCTAGCTTTACTCTCGCTTTCTGATGCATCGCTTCGGTAAAACTGAATAGGGGGATCGAGCACTTCGACCCTATGTACAGGATTCGTGGGGACGTGTTCGCGTAGGCGGTAATACATTTTATAATTTCATATGTAGCAACAAAAATAGTCTAAATGTCGATGTAAAACACAGGAAATAAATTAAGCGCTGGCGTGTGTAAAACTAAATCGAATGGTTTTTCATTAACATTAAACGTAACTCGAGTTGGCTGGAGCCCGGAGATTAGCGACTGCTGGTCTGGAGACTGGAGACTGGTTGCTTGGCTGGCTGTCCGCCGATGCTGATGCCGTTGCTGATGCTTTAGTGGTTGCTGAAGTAAAAGTTGTTGTTGCGTATGTTGCCACGGGTTCGCCAGCGGATGCAGCTGAGCAGGGCCACGCGAGCGGCGCGCAGCAGGATCTGGCCGTAGGCACAGCAGGCGCAGATGCGCCTCACTCGCTCGGCAAGGTTGCGTCGCCGGCAGCGGCGGGCGGGACGATGCCAGCGGGGCAGGTCCTGCCGGCGACGCCGTCACTTGCGACGCTGGAAGACGCGACGCAGCGCCTTACGCCAGAAGAAGCGCTGCGACTTGGTCTTCGCGTGCGGCTGCGGCTCCTCTATCTGGGCAAGGGCCGCGTCGAGGTCCTCCACCAGATCCAGGTTCTCTTCGGGAGCCGTGCGACGTCGTGTTGGTGTGGCTGGCGCTGTACGTGCCGTGCTCATGGCAATGGACACGTGGGGCTGTGGAGTGGGTGGTGCCGAGGCTGTGCTCACAAACGGAGCAACCAGATAGGGACGGGCCTTCAGCGCCGCCATTGCTGCCGCCGAGGTGGAAGCGATTGATGAGATGGAAGCCAAAGTAGCCACCGATGCCGAGGACTCCACGAAGCCTCCGTCTGCCGTTGCCGCCGGCGATCCTGTTTTGCCGCTCAGTGCTTTTGCTCCTGCTTCCGCTATCGCTCCATCTGCTGTTGCTGGCTGGGTGGCACGCAGCCAACAACCAGGCTGCATCGTATCTTATCTAAGCCACGGGTGTTGCAGACACTCCGCGGCGGTGGCCCGCTTGGCCGGATCGAACTCCAGCATGGGCTTGAGGAACGAGGCAAACGACTCTGCCTCGCTGTGCGACCACTCGTATTTCTCCAGCAGAACGTCCATCAGGCCCCAGGGCTTCAGGCCGGTGATGTTGCGAAGCTCCCCGCCTCGATTGAACGACTGCTGGGCGTAGGTGCCGCGGAACACAATGTGGCGCGGAATGGGACCCAGCAGCTCGATGATGTGCGCCAAGTGGTCCTCGTCGCGGGAGTAGGTGTCGCCGGAGTGCGGCTCGAACAGATAGTCGCCGGTGGCCAGCTCAAACACCATGCAAGCCGTGCTCCAGATGTCCGCCGAGGTGTCGTAGCCGGAGCCGAGGATCACTTCCAACGAGCGGTACTGACGCGTCTGGATGTCCTCGGTGAAGTGACGATCCACCCAGCAGGCGTTGCCAAGATCCGCGATCTTCACGTAGACGCTGCATTCCTCCAGCGCGGGATCCCGCCGGGGCCTGTGCTTCGCTTGCGGCGGCGGAGGAGGTGGTGGCAACAGGGGCTCCGAGTAAGGACCGTTGGTGGCCGACGATGAGTTCTCCACGGAGCCGCTTGAGATTTTCGAATTGCTGTTGGAGTTGGGCTTCGAGCTGGAGTTGTTGTTGTTCAGCTGTTGATTCGATGACTGCTGCTGCGGCTTTTCCACTTTTTTCTCCTGCTTGGGCCGCAGCGGCATCTTCTTTCCGTTTGATTGTCCTTTAAGAGTGCCACTCGAGTTGCTGTTGCTGTTGGTGTTGCTAATGCTACTACTGCCGTTGGTCTGATGACTCTTGAGGGCGCTGCTGCTGTCGCCGCTGCTCGTCGAGTTCTCCAGCTGAGGAGGCTGCTGAGCTTGCGGCTGGTTGGATTTGTCTGAATAGAGAATATTTTCATAAGCATTAGAAACAATGTTCTTTTTCTGTGGAAATACACATGTGGGACAGCAAACAAAAAACTAAAGTCTAGTATAAAGCGGACGAAAAAATAATTGGCATCTACAACACAAATGAAATATAATCTATATGAGTCTGAATTTTCACAACAAATTGTAAATGCAATGTTTATATTGCACAAATATTCCTTTAGAGTTAAGATTAGTTTTACCACTTACTCTTATTCTTCCTTTTCTTCTTCTTTTTGGCTTTGTCAGCGCCCTCAGTAAGCGGGGGTGGTTCCTGCTGCTGTGGCTGCTCCTTGCGCTCCTTTTGCTCCTTGCGCACCGGCTGCCCAGCAGCCACGTCCTCGTCTTCATCGCCATCATGTTCCTCTGGCTCCTGTTTCGCATCCAAGTACTCGTCCCCATCGGAGATGCCCGCATCGCCGTTCTGCACCTCATTGTGATTGACGCCAAAGTCCGTCTGATCCTCGCCTGCATCCTGGCCCTCGGCAGCCTGACCGCCGGTCTGCTCCAGGTAGTCACGCTGCTTCTTGAACAGCTCCATGCGCTTCTTAGCCTTCTTCTTAAGCTTCTTCTTCCGGTTCTTGCTCATCTTACCGGTTATGGGCGGCTCGCGGTACTCCTTGGGTGCCCTGCTCACCAGCGAGGGATACATCTTGGAGTTCATGCAATACAACTGCGTGGCTTCCGTGGCCAGCGAGCGGACATGCGGCTCGTCCACACACAGCAGCACATTTTCGGGCTTGATGTCCGTGTGGATGATCTTGCAGCAGGTGTGCAGATAGTCGAGACCCTCCAGCACCTGGCGGGTGATGGTCTTCACGTTGCCCAGCGGGATGCCGCGGTAGTTGGACTTGCGTATGAGCTTCAGCAGATTGTCGCCGAGCACCTCGAACACCATGCAGATATGGGTGCCGTTCACACCGGTTATCTTGAAGTCGTCCAGCATCTGGACAGTCTTCTGGCGGCGTGGATTCGATGGATCAGTCTCGCGCACCGTCCTGAGTATCTTGATCTCGTCCTTGGCCGTCTCGGCGAAGTGCGGTGCCGACTTGACAATCTTGATGGCCACATAGCTCTTCTCCTGCAGATCCCAGCACAGCCAGACGGTCGAGAAATGGCCCCAGCCCAATTTTCGGATGACGTGGTAGCGACCTGCAGAACAAAATTTGCATTAATCTCCAGCGGGTTTCATCAAGGGACAAAGTTCATAAAATTGGGGAGGGCAGCGCAGACCACTTAGGAAAATGAAATCACAAATGTTCGCCTCGGGTGGCAATAAATCCATTTTACTCGCATCACTGTCGCATCACAACTGACCCAGCAAAAAGCCGAACCGCGAGGGCTACTCTCCGCTCAAATTCAATTAAAATCCGGCTGTGAATGCAGCTGAGTGCGTACTCTTTGAGGGGCCAACCTCGAGTGCACAGCCTAAAGGCTTGAAAGGGACCGAAAATAGGTTTTCATGCTAGAACTCCCATAGAACTGTTAGGGTCCTTGCGAAAATTTGGGTGGTAGAGTGCAAGTAAAAGGATTTATATGAGAAGAAAATTTGGTCAAAACAATTTTCAGAAAAATCGAAGACCGCAAAATAGTTAGCATTTTAAGCTCATGATTAAGAAATTGAAACATTTTTACACACAAGAGAAAAGATTAAAACTTTTCAAGTTCTCTATATCGAATCACAGCGCATATAATTTTAATGATATGGTAGCGTTAAATGCATGATGAGACATTATAAATGTATATTATATAGTAAATATATATTTAAGTTGCTGTTAATCGTGATTGTATCACATATACAACTCCCCAACTCGGTTTCTCTACTCTCATAGGATCGATTCTATTAATAAAAACTAGGATTGCATAAATCAAGAAAGAGGGGCTAAACACTTGGTCGATTCATGTCATAATATGCAGCACTATCAGCCTATTTTGTGAAGCTTGCTTGGTCGTTATCAGGCTCTTACTCCCTTATCGCTTATTCAAGCGATTTCTCGGATTAACTTTCGCCAAACGCTGCAGAGCCTGCAAATGGATGTTGAAAGTGGAAAGCAAGCAGCTGGCGTTGTAAAATGGGTGGAGAGAACCTGCGAGGGGTGGAGTTCCGGGCTCATGTTGGCGACAACATTTGGAGGTGACAGCCCCCAAATGCTTTGGCTGTTGCTATTGTTGTCGTCGCCACAACACGAGTCGCCTCCTTCCGCCCCGAAAAAACAACCCTTGCCCGAAAAGTGGGTTCGCTGCGGAGCAGAACCACCCGCCGTGCGTTCGATTTATCTGTGCTGTGCGCCTTTGGCAACCTGTTGTTGTTGCTGGTGTTTTTTTGGGGTTCAGTTTGGGTCGGAAAATGCCAATATGTGGGGTGCTAACAGGTGCCTTACCCTGAAAGAGGTCACCGATGTTGACGGGGTGGTAGCCACCCTTGCAGTAGTCCTCCTTCAGCTCCTGCTCCTCGTTCTCGCTGTTTAGCTCGGACTCGAACGACTCGTTAGAGCTGCTCCTGGGTGGCTGCTGCAGTTGTTCCTTCTGTGGGTTGCCCTTGGGCTTCGTCTGAGGTTGGGGTGGCTGGTACTGGTCGGGAGTGCCCCCAGATCCTCCGCTGGACGTGGAGGCAGTGGCTGTTGCAGTCACCTTCTTAACAGCGCTCGAGGCGGTCACATCCGCGTGGCTATTATTAGCATTATCCGGTGCCTGCGAGTTCTGGGGATGGGCATTCGGGTTCGGGTTCTGGCCGGGATTGAGGTTACTCTGATCCTGAAGGGAAGTGCCATTCTGCTTGCCCCGCTTCTTGTTGTTCTTATGGCGTTTCTTCTTCGCCTGAATGGCCAGAACGCGGCGGTTGACGTCAGACTTGTTCATTACGCTGCTGCTGGTTGCTTCTATTTTCCAACTAAACCCTTTATTTCCGCCAGGTGTAACAGCTGTTGTGTGCGAAGAATCGGACGAGAGAGAGAGAAGAAGCGAGGTTAGGGGATGGTTGATAAAAAGGAAATAGTGGAGGAGAAAACGAACAGACAACGTGCACAAATCTCAATAAGGCAATGTTCGAGGTTCACGCTGTTGTTGTTGCCTCTGCCCTGTTTTTGTTGTCGATTTCTTGACCATCTCGTTTTACAGCAAAAACAGAGAATACAGAGCAGCGGATTTGGCGCAAAACACCAGCTAATTGTCTACTTGCCTCGGGCTCCCACTCGTTCTCAATTAACACGGCTGCTGCTTCGATTTCTGCACAAAATTAGCACAAAAAATCTTCGCTAAACGCCAAATCCCAAAACTCGATTCCAATGTGACCGCACCACGAACGTCACAAAAACCATCGGTCACTGGAAAAGACTAAAGGAAGCGAGGAGTCAGAGATGGCACTCAGAAATTGTTACTTAGAGCAGGCTTAGAAATTAAAAAAAAAAAAGCCCTAACAGTTTTGAACCAAATCTTTTGAAAACCATATGTAGATGGAAAATTTTTTATAAATTTTTATATCGAAATAAAAGCTCATATTGTAGTTAATTTTTATTACCCAGAAAGGTTGTTTTCGGGTGGGCGTTTCATAAATAATTTAAAATAATTATTAACATTAATAAACTAAATGAGGCAGCACTAGAAGCAAGGTCTAATTATTATCACGGGCTCAAACCAAGCAAAAGAACTGTAGTAAAAACATAACGTAAGCGCACTACGTAATCTCTATTCAGCTATCTCGCTCGCACGCTGCAGCTATATAGTGCCACCTCACTCCCACCCGTTTAGTACTCGACTCCCTTGGCATTTTTGCGCAGCGTTCGCTTTGCCAAAGGCTCTAAAAATGCGGTTCCCCCTGACCTACCACGCTTCGCAAGTGGCCGCGGGCTAGACCAATAGCATCTCGGTTCGCCGGCGTTCCGCAACAGCCGCAAATGCAGCTGAATCGATAAAAAAACACGAGCACAACGAAAAATCCGCAAGTGGAAAAAACTGCTACGGAAAAAGCAACCCTGCAAGCGAACAGTGCTGCAAGGCGTCGGTCGAAACAGCTGATTGTCCAGGGTTGTTAGTTTCTCGAAACGTACGACTTGCAACACTAAAGGCGTTTTGGCGCAATTTTAGTTTTTGGAGGGAAACTGCATTTTAGGAAAGTCGTGGCCAGTTGTAATTTGAGCAGTGCGCTGGCACGACGTGGTGACCAATTAAGTAAATAAGAATATTAGTGACTAACAGCAAGACGTGCCCATTTGTGAAACAAGCCAAAAGGGTGCTGATAAACTATTAAGCCAGCTGCAATTGCAATTAGGAATAATAACACATTAAAAAATGGCCCAGCCATCGGTAGCTGCATTCTTTACCAATCGTAAGCGCGCCGCGTTGGATGATGCTACCACCATTAAGAATCGGGTAAGCATCCAGTCCAGAAACGTGACAAGATACAAAAGTATCTGCAAGTGCGTTATGCCAGTGCAGCCATCTTAAAAATTGGCTTTCTTTTGCAGCGTTTGGCGGAACCCGTCGAAAATGCCGCCCCCACCACTTCACAACTGCCGTCCAGCGGAGACCAGGATGCGGACTTGGACATCCTGAAGGCGGCGGCCAGCGGTATGCGCACCCGATCCGGCCGCACTACCCGCCTGATTGTCACCGCCAACCAGGAATCCAAAAGTAAGAAGACACCAGCTACCGGGAAGGCAGAGGCCCACATCAAGCAGCCTAAGCTGGTGCAGTTCATTAAGAAGGGCACTCTGTCGCCCAGAAAACAGGCACAGTCCAGCAAGCTGGACGAGGAGGAGCTGCAGCAGTCGTCGGCAATCAGCGAGCAGACCCCCAAGGTGAACTTCACCATCACCAGACAACAGAATGCGGACAACGTGCAGCGCGGCCTTCGCACGCCCACTAAGCAGATCCTCAAGGACGCCTCGCCCATCAAGGCCAGCGGGGTGGAGCTGCGCCGCCAGCTTACCTTCGATGAGGTCAAGAACAAGGTGTCGCGCAGTGCCAAGCTGCAGGAACTCAAGGCAGTGCTCGCCAGGAAGGCGGCCCTCGAGCAGAAGCGCAAGGAGCAGGAGGAGCGCAACCGGAAGCTCCGAGAGGCTGGCCCCTCCCCCTCGAAGTCCAAGATGAGCGTGCAGCTCAAGGAGTTCGACACCATCGAACTGGAGGTGCTCACAAGGTGAGTTGGGAAATGATACAAAAACTTATGCTTGCTTTATTCGTCCTTGATTTTCATTATCCTTTCTGGGTAACAATAAGTTTCGGTACATATGTGTGTCATATAAAAAGCGAATTAGCGTGCATAACTAGGATATGATATATCCTATAATAATTAAGGTATCCAAGTTAAAGAAATCACGACTCGTAAAATAATTTTCGCGAGCTCAAGATATGTGCCTGCCACAACAATTTCGATTTGGCTAGCTGGTGGCCTAGAATCGGCATAAACAAACCACGGAGTGTGGAGTGCGGACTATGAAAAAACCGGGTAACATCATTTAGCGAAAGGCCAGCAGTTGCTGCCGTGCAGTTCTGCTGCAATCGAGGTCGCTCTCCGGGTCTCCGGGTTATTCAAGCGCTCGACTGCTGAAGTTGCATATTTTCCACCCAAGAGTAGCAGTCACCGATGGCTTGGCTTTGGCGATATGGCTATTCTTGAACGAAATTGCTGCTGATTCGTGACGTCTGTACAACATACATAAATGCTTAACTCTCTGCTGACTGACCCTCCCCATGCGACGCTATGTGTATCGCTATGTGCTACATGTTTACCCTTCGCAGACGTTACAATCTTTGCCTGACCTTCCCTTTAAAAATGCTTATTTTCCGCCCGCATTCGAGGGTTGCTTTCTCTCTCTCTCTATCCCTGCAAATAAGGATCTTAACTGCTGCGCTGCATGGGAATGCGAGTCACCAGCGAGATGTGTGTATAAGTGTTTTTGGGTCGACCGCTCAGGTAGCAACCTTTTTTCGTAACGGTTTTCTTGAAGGAAGGTCCCGAAACCCAAATGGGAAATGTTTTCGAATAGGAACAGGCCAACGAGATCCTTTTTCCTACGCCTGAGCATTTTGATTGTACAAAAACTTACATATGTTTGTTTTGGTTTTCTTACACATTAGATCATATGAGCGATGTTTAGACACATTATTAGATTTATAAATTCATTAACTATTAATTATTATAATTTATTTATCCCTATTTTCGCCTTTTAATTAGTTCATCCGGAGAAATTGTAAATTTTTTTGTTTTGTTTGGATTACGCTAATTTATTTCCCTTTCTAAATTTTGCTTTAAAATGAAAAAGGACTTCATAACTAATATTTTTCCAATTTCTTAATTACAGCCCTCTGAAGACCTTCAAGACGCCCACGAAATTACCGCCTCCCACCCCAGACAAACATGAGCTCATGTCGCCGCGCCACACGGACGTGTCCAAGCGTCTGCTCTTCAGTCCGGCCAAGAATGGATCGCCCGTCAAACTGGTGGAGGTGCCTGCCTACAAGCGCTATGCCTCGTTGGTTGAAGGATCCCGCGCCGGACAACTGCCCTTGCCGTACAAATACCGCCACTTGTTGGATGTTTTCAAGGGTCTCGACTCCGTGGTCGCCATGTTCCACAATCGCAAGGAGACCATCACGTTCAAGAAGCTGAAACCGGCGGTGCAGCGTATGCTGCGCAAGAACTTTACGGAGACCCACTTGGCCCAGATCAGACACGTCTATCCGGAGGCCTTTATCTTCAGCCAGATGAAGACGCGCAACTTTGGTTCCGTGTCAAAGGCGGACTACTTCCAGCTGGTCATCAGTCCCAACGTGGAGCCGCTGCCCGATCAGCAGCCTTCGGAGAAACCCCAGCGCCAGGGCAAGATCGACGAGGACGATGTGCTCGCGTCGGCACAGTCGACGTCCATGAATCCACACGTCATGACTGCACGGATGCAACGCTTCCAGAGCCTCCTGCTCGAACGGGCGATGCGGGCTCACGATCAGTTCCTGCGCTCGCAGGATCCGCCAATCATCATCGAGAAGGCGCTGACCCGCTGGCACCCGCAGTTCGATCTGGAGAGCTGCCCGGAGGTGGAGCTGGCCCCGCTGCCCCAGCCACCGAACGTGGAGAAGTACTCCTCGGCCAAGGACATTCTGTCCACCGCCCGCAATCTCTTCAACTGCGCCACGCCCATGGAAAGGGCCATGGATCGCTATGAGGCCAAGTTGGAGGCTGACAAGCAGGCGGCAGAGAGCAATAAGAAGGCGATGGAGCAGCCGCCAGGAGAGAAGGCCAAGACAAGTATGGGAACGCAGGCCAGTCAGGAGGTGCCCGGAGTATCAGGACCAAGGCAATCTGAAGCCACTGACCAAACAGCCACTGCCAAACCCACGGTGAAGGAATGCCCTGTCCCAGATGCCAGCTCAAATCTGCTGAAGGGTCTGCCCAAGTCGCTCATCGAAAAGATCCGAGCCAAACAGGCGGCCAAGGCTCTGGAGGCCATGACCCGGCGACCGTCACAGGATCAAGAGGCCACCAACTACTCCCGCTTGCCGGAACTAGCCAGGCACCTGCGCAACGTCTTCGTCACCGAGCGCAAAGGAGTGCTCACCCTGGAAGTGGTCATCAAAAAGATCCAGAACAGCTTCCGGGCCAACCTGACGCCGCAGGAGATCGAGGCACACCTGAAGCTCCTGGCAAAGGAGGTGCCCAGCTGGGCATCCTTCCACGAGGTGCGCAAGACCATGTACCTCAAGGTGGCCAAGGACATGGACATGAACAAGATCATCGAGCAGCTGGAGGGCGTGGCGAACGCGAAGAGCAATTGAAGCACCGGATACCCGGAAAAGGAACCAGGACGCGGGACCCCGTCGAGCAATGACCCTGTGGATAAATCCAGCTATACCTTTAAGTACTTGTTAAACTAGCTAGCCAATACTTCACTAAGCAATGAGATTAGGCTAAGCTCCCTTCTGACATTTCCACATCGAACAAGCTCATTGACAACCAAGATTTGATTCATCACATTTACCCAAGCATTTATTATAACAAAACTTTTTGGACCATGCGTTTATACATTTATATTTAATAGTTTTAAGATAATTTTTCATGTTGTACCACGTTGAATAAATAAACATTTTTGCTGGAAAATAACACTCTGAATTGGAGTTTTAATGGATTAGATTAGAGTAAAGATTTTTAGAGCCGTGAACTTAACTTAATTTGGTTTTGAAAAGTATATTTGTATTTTACCTCCGCAGCGCCACCTAGTGGTAATCTACATTGTTACCAATACTTGATATTGCACTATATTTTGAGCTAGTTCTTTGACTAGTTCACAGAAATGTTGAAACTGGTCACACTTAGACTAATCGCGCCATAATTTTGTAACAACAATAATATTATTGATTATTAATAAAAAAAATAATGGAAAAAAGCGAAGACATATCAGAAACGCAGGATGAAGAGCAACAGCCACCTCCGACCACCGCAGTATCGGGTCAAATAAAGGCCATTTCAAAGGATACAGTCCACAAAATCTGCTCCGGACAGGTAAATTATAAGCTTCCAGTTTGTTTACGTTTATTAATCGCTGTGTTAACCACTCTTGAGGTGGTTCTTAGCTTGGCAGTGGCGGTGAAGGAGCTGGTGGAGAACTCTATTGATGCGGGTGCCACTCTGGTGGAGATCAAGCTGAAGGATCAGGGATTACAAGGCGTAGAGGTCAGCGACAATGGGAGTGGCGTGGAGGAAGCGAATCTGGAGGGGATGAGTGAGTTCCCTAATCTCTATCCATTAAAATAATTTGGTTAATGCTTCCTTTCACAGCTGCTAAGTACCACACCTCCAAAATCCGAGAATTCGTGGATCTGTTGGGCGTGGAAACCTTTGGATTCCGAGGAGAGGCTCTAAGTTCACTTTGTGCCTTGTCGGATATGGTCATCCAAACGCGGCACGAGTCCACCGAAGTAGGTGAGTCTGAGAGCCAGGCGCTTCTGATAACGTGAACCACTTAATATCCATGCAAATACCAGGCGTCAAAATGGAACTGGACCACGAGGGAAAGATCAAAAAGCGTTCCCCTTGTGCTCGTGGAGTGGGCACGACTGTAACGTTGTCAAACTTGTTTGCCACTCTGCCCGTTCGTCGAAGAGACTTCACCCGCAATATCAAAAAGGAGTTCACCAAGATGTGTCAGATCCTGCAGGCTTACTGTTTGGTCACCAAAGGGGTGCGCATCCTCTGCAGCAATCAAACTCCCAAGGGAGTCAAAACGGTGGTGCTCCAAACGCATGGAAACCAGGAGGTTCTGGCCAATATATCCTCCATATTTGGGGCACGCCAGGTGGCGGATCTAGTTCCTTTAAAATCACCCTTTGAGCATGGTAAACTAAGCGAGGCAGAATTGCGGGCCGATATTGAATCCTCTGCAGATGCTGATACCACTTGCCCTCAAATCAGCGCCGAAGATGTGGAGCGTCTTAATCAAGCTGATTTCCAACTAGAGGGGTTTATTTCCAGCTGTCGGCATGGCGCTGGGCGTTCTACCAGAGATCGACAGTTTTTCTTTGTCAACTCAAGGCCTTGTGATCCAAAAAATGTAAGAAAAATTTTTAATTAAAACTTATGAAAAAACCATTCTAATTTTTCCAGATAGCTAAGGTTATGAATGAGGTATACCATCGCTACAACGTTCAACAGCAGCCGTTTATTTACCTTAACATTGTCACCGCTCGCTCCGATGTAGATGTGAATCTCACTCCCGACAAACGGCAGTTGTTGATCAACAACGAAAAGATTCTCCTGTTGGTGTTGAAGAAGTCCTTGCTCGACACTTTCGGCCAGACGCCAGCTACCTTTCAGATGCAAAACACCACCATTGTAAGCATGCTGGAGCCTAAACTAAGGCAGGAGAAAACCGAGTCCCCAAAAGAAATTAGCAAGGAATCAAAGAATGAAGAGTCAGACGATGAAGATGTTCCCATCAGCTCTTCGCAGAGGTTCATGGATGTGCTCACCCAATGGCGTCGCACTGGAGACACAAAAGGTACGGCACCATCGGTTCCTCTAAAGCGCCGCTGCAGTGAAACAGAGGAGTTAACCACGCGCACCATGAAAATGCAAAAAATACATACTTTCCTTAGCCAAGAATCTCCAAAGCATCAAAACTCCAAATGCGAGTCGGAATCAGAGGGAGCGAGTGATAATGAAAAGGCAAAGGAGAACAAGGAGCGGGTCAATCTTGATGACAGTTTTCTTAACCTGAAAGAAATGGCCAAGGAGTCGGAAGGTAAGACTGTTTTTTAGCACAAAAAAACTATTAACTAATAAACAAATTTCTTGAAGCTTACGATCAATTTACGCAGCCAGCCAAGCAGATAGATCGCATTGATTGCAAGGTTCTTACGCCAGTTAAAAGTCGGAGAAGTATTGCCGCGTTTAAGCCACAGTCTAAGGCACTAACCAAAGAACAGTCTCCGCCAAGATCAACCCCGGATCCTCCCAGCTTATCTCAGTTATCCGAAGAAACAAAAATTGCTAGCGACGATGATGATGATATTGAGCTTCCCACAAGGGTTGAGTTTGACGAGGAGGCGGATGAGGGACCGCCTGATAGTTTTTCAAGCAGTGAACTGTGCACCACTATAGAGGAGATTGCGGCCTCTTTGAAAGCCCAGGAACAGCAGCAGCGGGATCGAAGGGCTCGAGCCAAGCTGCAACGTTTGCGCTTCAAAACCGAGATTAATCCTAACCAGAACAACAACGCAGAGGCGGAACTGCAAAGGGAGATTGGGAAGGAGGACTTCGCCCGCATGGACATCATAGGACAGTTCAACCTTGGCTTCATCATAGTCAAACTTGAGGATGATCTCTTTATTGTGGATCAGCATGCCACTGATGAAAAGTATAATTTCGAAACGCTGCAACGCACCACTCAATTGGAGTATCAGCGCTTGACAGTTCCCCAAAATCTCGAACTGACAGCGGTTAATGAAATGGTGGTCATAGATCACCTGCCTGTGTTCGAAAAGAACGGCTTTAAGTTTGAGATCAATCATGAAGGTAAGCTTTGTATTCTTATTCAGGTTTTTAACTAATTACTTCTTATCTTTTAAGCTCCTGCTACAAAAAAGGTGCGACTTCTGGGAAAGCCGCACAGTAAACTCTGGGAGTTCGGCAAGGAAGACATAGACGAACTTATCTTTATGCTACAGGATGCCCCTGAGGGAACCATTTGCCGACCATCTAGGGTGAGAGCTATGTTTGCTTCAAGGGCTTGCCGCAAGTCCGTGATGATTGGCACTGCGCTAAACAGGAATACAACAATGAGGAGACTCATCACACAAATGGGGGAAATCGATCAGCCTTGGGCAAGTATCAAGATTAATATTTGAAAAGAAGAAAACACATCAATATCCGATTTGCAGAACTGTCCACATGGACGTCCCACTATGCGTCACCTCATTAATATCACAATGGTGATGGACAATGATGAAGAGGAGGAGGATGCTCCTTCGGTACAGCAAAAGCCAGAACGGATTTCAGATTCAGATAGCTTGCAGGCCAATGATGAAGATGCATGTTAAATTATTGTTGCAGTTTTTATTTTATTTAACTTTCCTTTTGAGCCACTAAGTATACTTCATTGTTCTGTAAATGCTTACTTGAGTAACGATTAAACGACAGGATCAGACTTAAAACTAAAGACAAATACAAAGGTTATCACTTGAGTATGTCTAACAAGCTACTCGTTTTGTTTAATAACTATTCCTATATCGTACACTAAATATACATATACGGGTACGCTTTATATATTATTTGAGAGGCTACATACTTTCGGGTATATGTGTGCTATGGCTTAGTTTTGATTACTAAATGCTGCTCCTCTTTAGTGACTATCCGTAACTAGAGTCGGCTGAGTAATTCAACGATTTGGCAAACAGTTTACAACTCCCGCTTTCGAACTCAAATGTTTGTCGGTTGTCTTTCGTAGTTGGCCACAACTTAGTCTACATGTCTGGCCTTCCGCCCTCGATGCACTCGTATCTTACAGCTGTCGTATTGTACACAAACAGTTTGTCAATCGTAATACTAGAGTTTAGTGTTTAAAACTATAAGTTTGCTAAGCCACAAGTATAATTAAACGCTACATTCCTTCCTGTCTAGTGTATAAAATGCATGGCACCCATAGGGAACAGAGTTCGTTGAGCAAGTTACCTTAGAACACAACACTACAGTAACTTAGTGACTATGACTACAGCTACACTTTGATTCATTATCTCTTGTCAATTCGATTCCAATTTTCCAGATTTCGTTTCGTCTTTCGTTCGCGTCGTTCATACATTTTGTAAATAAAAGGCAACTCATGAACATTTTTGTTTTCAACAACAAGGGACCAAGGGCCTCACGCTGATTTTCCCGTCTCTCGCTAACAAACTTTGCAGGTGGTTCAGTTCTAGGTGTTATATGTTCGTATCTTTGGAAACAAGTAGTGATTGGTCACTGGAAATTGGGTGGAGACAAGTGAAACTTTTAAAAAATCAACAGAGAAAATCAACGCTTAGTTCTTAACACTCCTTTTTCGTTTCCTCTTCTTATTGAATTAGTCGGAATTGGAATTTCTACAAGTTAACCTTCTGTAAAGCTTTTCCCTTTAGTTTCAGAAATACTAAAATCAGGTTCCCCTTTTATAAAAATCCTTTTAAATGGAGCTGCCAAACGGGGCTTCCTTAAATCCACAGAGGACCAATGGTCTCCACGATTATGTCCAGCACATCCTGGCGTCCCATCTCCTTGAGCGTCAGCAGGAGTGCCATTATCGTGTGCGACACTGAGTTGGAACTGTTACCAGGACTGCTGTTCGCCCGACACTCCCACAGATTGAGGATTTGTTCGGTGGGCGAGGCCTTGGTGGCAAAGTAGGCGATGTAGCGGTCCGTGTTCAGCTTCTTGGCCAGCAACCGCCAGTCCCGCTCGTCCGCCCGAGGAGGATCCAGGGCGGCGCAGATCAGACGCTTGGTGGCGTGCGGCAGCTGGACGAAGTCCATCACACAGCTCTCGTTTACGTAGTTGCCCTGGCGGTCGATGGAGATGGTGGTGTTCGTCGTGGAGGCCAGCTCCTCCGCCGATCCGCTCATGCAGTGGGCTGGAATGTTGAAGGTGTAGAAGTCGTCCTCGCTTCCCTGGCCGAAGTCCACGCAGAGGGTGTTCTGGTCCTGCCTCCGCAGACTGAACTCGCAGTGCAGGATCGAGTTGTTGCTGAGGATGTGCTGGTAGGGAATGGCGTGCTCGTAGGGGGCCGCTGCCTCCACGTCCGCACTCCGCACCCGGATGTTCAGGTTGCGGCTGTTCAGGGTGAAGGCGAACACCTGGCTCTCGCCGAGGAAACTGCCCCCCAGCTTGGCCTCCACGTTGGCGCAGATATCCCGGCTGTTCGGGAAGTCCTTCACCACGTAGATGCGTAAGCTGCAGTTGGCGCTACTGGGTGGGGTGTGCTGACTGAAGGCCAGCAGCTTCATCTTGATCGAGGGCTGCTGAATCCTCGGCTCCGCCACCACGGTGAAGTGACCCAGTTGCTCCGTCATGATGAACACGTGCGTCGCCTCCAGCTGAACGAACATGGGCGTGTTGATGGTCTCCTCGCCCACGGACACCGCCCTCCGCCAGTTCACATTCAGCTCGTCGCGCTCGTTGTCCGCGTGGTAGATGTGCACATGCCACTGTTCCGGGGAAACCAGGCAGTGGGGAATCTTCAGGATCACCGGCTTCACGAAGCTGTAGTTCCGCGGGGCACTGTGCACCACGCTGCTGCACAGGATGGAGCTCTCGGTGGCGCAGGACACGCGACTGCACTCGTCACTCAGCAGGAGCAAGGACACGTGCTTCTTCAGGTGCTTTCCGATTGCGTGCTCCGGCACAAAGAGCAGGATTTCCCCGCCGTAGAGGCGCAGCTGGCCTCCGGAACTTCCCAGGAGCTCGTAGCTGCTGCTCTTCGAGGCGTTCAGTATGGACAGCTTGCCATTTGTATCAAAAGTGGAGTTGGCTGTTGGGGAAACGAGTTTGTAATTACGGTTCAAGCAAGTTTTCAAGCTGTTCACTCACAAGTATCTGCTGTGGAGGAATCCCCTGTCTCGGATAAGTAGTCCACGCTCAGATGATCTATGGGATTGGTGTAGCTAAAAGAAATCGAAAACACCGAGATTAAAATACTTCTTATGTTAGTCACTTCACTTACACGAGAATTTAAAGGCTTCGGTAAGGGGAGATTGAAAACTTTATGTCTACACATTGTTAAAACGCAGCAGATATGTTTATGGTGGAAGTAATTTCGCAGTGAGCACCAAATTTCCGTGCCAAGAATATTAAAAACCCCATAACTATATCCGCTCTAAGGCGAATTTTAATGACTCACAAGTCGCATAAAAATGTAAGCCCCTGTCATGAACAAGTATTAAAGTTTAAGAACTCAGACAGACATATGAAAAATTTAAGTGTCAGAAAAGGAAATCTAATTTTATGTAAGCAGTCATTAAATAAAAAATTCAGATAGCATAGTAATAGTTGAGGATTATTATTTATTAATATTTTACATAAAATCTTCAATGCTAATGGAAAGTAATTATAGTATTCCAATCATAACCGGAAAACATACTAAGAAAAGCCAGAATAGTAATTATATTTAAGCTTTTCAAATAAAGGAACCACTATCAAAAAAGTCCTTTTCAAATCGAAGCTAATCCCTTGAAATTGAAACGCTGCGTGGTTTATTTGCAAGTTGTAAAGTTTATGGCGGGAGTATTTATGCCATATTGCGGCCCAATCAAGACTCAAGGGTACCGAAAGGATAAAAGGACATGTGGGAGAGCAAACTAATAACATTTATGGCTTATTTGTAGACTTACTTGGCGGACAGATTGGGCACATCGTAGTGGTGCTCGGTGACGCCTCCGCATCCGATGCCCATGCCCATGATGTGCTCCCCGGGCAAGTAACGATGTCCGGGATTGACGTAATCGTACCCCATGTTGCTGGCCTCGATGTGCATGCGCATCTCCTTCTTTTCCACAACGCCGGGCATATAATCCGCGTCCATTACTGCAAAAGGAGGCGAAATACACACGGTCAATTGCTGACGGCGAACGCAGCAAAGGCAAAAGGACTCGGGAGTCCTTTGCAACTCACCTGAACGGGCCATGTTGTAGTGAGGATTGGTGCGGATGCCGCGACGGGCACAGCAGATGAGCGCCGTTCCGAAGGCGAAGCACACGGCGGTTATGAAGGCCAGTCCCAGATAGAGAGTCCAATCGAAATCTGCAATGGAGAAGCGATGCGCATTCATATTAAAGCGCTGAATCGGCTGATTGTACCCCGTAATCGCTTTTAATGGGAAGTGTCTTGGTACCTATGAAGCTCAGAATAACAATCAAACTTTATAAAGTCTATTTTTACTGAACAACTAACAATTTCCTAAATCACTGGGTTTGTTACTTTTCTTTCTGCAAACATACTACTTTAATAAATGAAACAGCTTAAAATATGTGATGAAAGTAGTTAGCCTCTATTCTGTTTCTATGTTTGCACTTCCAATTATATAAGTTTTCCTTCATTTCATGAGCGACACAGAACTACTAGGTATTACCAAACTCATCTTCGAAAGTAGCTCTCGAAAATCCGTTCACCTTCTAGCGAACTGAATGGCAATAAAGCCAGCCTGCCTGCAATTTCAGCCTGCGAGCCAAGATGCTGCCACCCCATACCCATTCCGATTGCCAATCTTTGTGTGTTTGGGCATTAAAAAAAAAAAGAAAGAACCGAGAGATTTCTGCGTAAATCCGCCACCCTCATGCTTTTCAGGATGCCTGCCAAGCGAAATCCATTCCACACATTCATGGACGTTGAGTCAACCCGAAACAGAAACCGAAAACGAACCGAACCGAACCAAACTGAACTGAACTGAACTTTTCCATATCCAAACAGGGCATCCTCTCACCCATTGTCATCAATCCCGAGCAGCCATGCGTATCCGTATCTGGCGGAGCAGAGCAGTGTATGTCTGTATTTAATGTTTTATGTTTGTATGCTCATCCCCAGTCCAGCTCCGTCTATTTCGCATTATTATTCGCCGGCGGCCCCCGTCGCCAGTGCTTCCCAGATCCCGAACCCCATCTACATGCCCGTCCCCACGATGCCCGTGCCACCAAGCGCCCACCCACCCACGATATCCTCCCATTGTTGCGCTGCCTGTTTCCGTTTCTGTGATTGTTGTCGTCATTGTTGCCTGGCGCTGGCGGTGACTGGTTGGCCAAAAAGGAATCGCTGCAGCGCAAGGAATTACTCTGTATATATTATGATTATTGTGAAAGTACTATATAGTAGCACGGCTACGAGCTACGAGCAGGGCTAGAAGTGGGCAGAGCAGAGCGGACGGACGCATTATACAATGTATGAAATGAGCAATTATATTCGCTGTAAATCAGCGGCAGCATCGGAAACGGCAGCCGAAGTAGAAGTTGAAGTCCCTCGAGCAGCATCCCCAACTGGGATGCTCCAAGGATTTTCCCTTCGCTTTTGTGCATTTTGCATGCTGGCTTTTACATTTTTTTTTTTTTTTTTTTTTGTACTTCTACCTCCTGCTTGGGACATCAAAAGGGGCTCGTCTCCTTGGCCTGACAAATACGCTTTTAATATCAGATGGCTGAGTACGAGCTGCCGACAATGGGCCATGATGAAGCCGCAGGTATCGGTGGCCCAAGGGATTTTCCCGGGATTGCTCGGGCTCAACCGAATCGCAATAAAATCGAAAATAAGCTGCACACTGTCGCCCCTCGTAAACTTTTCAGCAGGCAATCGAATTGAAGACAGACCTGCCAAAAAGCCCAGCAACTCCTTGTGCCCTGATTCCCTGATCCTTTCAATTACACACTGTGACAGCCATCTAATTGATCCCCACGGACCGCACAAAACTATGTTTGAGTTGGGTCAATCGCACGATTCGGTTTCCCCCCGTCTGCAAAATCGAATCGCAAACAGCAACAATGACACGGGAAGAGCCCTGAATTGAACCGGGGTGGCAAATGGGGCGGAGTGTGGATGCTGATGCTGCTGCTGATGCTGCTGTCTTTGCCGCACGCCTAATTATCTGGCAAAGGACATAAACCCTCAGCAGGACTTGTGTGCGGGACCCCCACTTAAATCTCGATTCCAAGTGCTGCTGCGATTGATTTGCCACGACCCTTCTTCGATTGGACTCCGAAGTGGGGTAGTGCGGGTTGGGGGTTAAGAGTTGGGGAGTTTTCAAATGGATGGGGGGGGGTTTGGGGTGCTTTCTATACTTTATACTCTTCTATATAGATAAATAAGCCCGTGGCCGTGCACAAACAAATGCACTTGGTTAATTTCCCATTGTGACAATCAGCGTTGAGTGCTCGGCTTTTGTGCGGGGAGGCTTGGGCTTTGGATTCTGGCTTCTGGCTCCTGCTCTCCAAATCCGGGCTGTTATTGTTGTCTAACTGTCTACTTTGTTGCCGCCTGGCATTCATCCTTGTCATAAGCACTGCGACTCACCATCCTTGCCAATCTGGCACTGCTCGCCGCGGCATTCCGCCGTTTGTATGTCTTTTCCGGCGCACAATGATTTGCCATATCCCGGGATGTTGTCGGAACTGGAGCCAGTCGCCTCGCTGGGGCTTCCTATTCCCGCTCCCGCTCCCGCTCCACCCGCGGCGATGAGGGCGGCCATGCCCACTCCGGCTCCCAGGAGCAGATCGCCGGCTTCCTCCGGCTCGGAAATCTGAGTCTGGCCCTGAGTCAGGCACTTCCGGCGACGCACTTGAATGCACTCCGCGGAGCAGATGCTCCAGTCACTCCACGACGACCAGCGGGCCACTGCAATGAAGAAGAGGGAGGGGGAAAGCACACAGGCAGTTTAGAAATCAAAAGTCATATTAACATGATTTAGCACACATTCCCGACAGCGGCACTCCCCGGGTCGTATATCATCGGGCCAGGGACGTGGCAGGCCCCTCTTTCGGCTTCTGCCTCTCAGATGCCGCTGCAGATGCCACACAATTACCGCCTAATAGATGGTCCATGGGGAGAAATCGAAAGTTTGTTCCCACCATAAAATTAGTGGGTCTTCCTCAGTCCCTTCTCGTCATTTTTTTTTGAGCTACCCCCAAAACTCCGTTCGAGACGACGCCTCTGTTGATTTTTGGGGTTCGTGCGTGGGTGGGTGAGTAAAAGTGATTGTCATTTTAATGCTTTTCTATTTTCGCATTTTCTTTGCTATTTCAATTTCCCTGCTTTCTTTTCGAAGTGGCGGGGGAGAACGGAAAGTCCGAAAGCTAAACAAAAAGCCAAAAATGTTCATGGTGTGATGCATGCCAATGGCAGCTGAAATATATGTTCGACAGCAGTACACTAATAAAAAAATAACGGTACAAGGAAGAAAATATATTTAATTCGTTTGCAAAACTAACTTTCTTTTTCCCCTTACTTAATTATTTTTATGTTTTCTGTATTTGGCAAGTAAGAAGGTAATTGCTTTTGGGTTTCAAAACTATTATATCTTTCTTAAAGTTCAAGGTTTTTCGCTGAGTGTGCACACATACTGGTCTAAATACATCGGCATTTGGCACTTCCTGTTTTGGAAACATAAAACCACCCCCAAAAGGGCGCACAGGATTCCGGACTTGTCGCCAGCCATCATCACATTGCCAGGCATTTAGTTTCCCCCGCCCGCCTGGCGCATCCCGATCCGGAACCCCAACTGCCGTCGATACCCATCCCTGGAAGTATCCTTTTTCGACCCCGGGTTCAGACACAGACTGTTGCATGAATCAGAGAGCGTGAGTCGTGGTAAGTGATTTTTAAGTTGCTATCTGCCGCAATGACGTCACTTGCGACCCCGCCGGAAAGTAAGTCACTTCAGTTAAAGTCAGTTAAAGTATGGAGTAGTAGTTTTTTTTTTTTTGGGGAGGGGAATGTGCGGAGGGGGGAATTCCCGAAACGAATGACGCCACGGTTGGTTGGATGCTGATGCCTCCGGTTCGGTTTAACACGATTGTTTATTGGATTGTTAAGGCCCCGGTGGATGGCATTGGGGCAACCCCAACTAAAAAATTTAACTGTCGTCGGCTCGTTAAGCATTCAAGTTTAACCGCTCGAACACAATGTCGTTCGTATTGAATCCTTTGGCCCCCAATTCGCCACACCCCCTGGGATGGGAAGCCTTTGAGGGAAATGCACATTGTCGGGCTTTCGGTTCAACTTACTGCGCTTACTCGACGAAATGTCAAATCCATCAGGGCTGACGATTTGAGTGTCCTCTGTTGTTGGCAGGCGACAGTGGCGACGGGACGTCAGGACGACAGGACGTCAGGACGACGGGACGTCAGGACGACAGCGTAATCACAGGCGTTGGTGGGCGTGGCGCGGCGGCAGGACCATAAGGTTGACACGGTTCCATGGGGATGAAAAGTCGTCGAATGGAATGGAGGGAGTCCGGAAAAAACGAAAGCCAAGCGAAATTTAAAATTAATTTTATGACACACTTTTCATAGAAAAGAAATACCCCCGTCCACAATGGCATCCCCCACCCCCACCCCCTCTTGACGACCGAAGGGCCCCTTCTGGAGCAGATATATACGTATCGGAGTATATATATGTATGGTCTACCCACTGCCAGTCCCTGTCCCCATCCCAGTCCCAGTCCCATTTGCCCCGCTTGTCTGTCAACAATTGCTCATTGCTGTTCGCCTGGCCAAGTATCCTACGAAATCTCCGTGTGGGTGAGTATCTGTGCGAGCACTACAATACAATACAATGCAATACAATAAATTTACATGAATAAAAGTGAAGAGTCTCAAACACATGCCGCCCGTGCGTCTGTCAAAAAGAGCGCCCCAGCCACCACCGAGCTCCCCACTCCACACTCCGCACGAAACCATTCCCTTCCAGATTTCATCCTCGGTTCGAAGTCTCCGGTCCCAAGTCCCTGCTCCCCGCTCCCTGTTCCCTCCCCTCCGATTCATTCCTTTGTCACCATTTAGTCGGTGGCACGCCGTCGGCAGGCGCTCCCCACTGCCAAGCTCGGCGGCCCAATCTATCCATCTATATGGCCGCTCGCATGTGGAGATATCTGTCGTCGGTCCAAGGCACCGAATGCGTGTTTAAAATGAAATACTCAGCACTCACTCAAAAGTGTATTATACCATTGCTCGCATCGGGCATGCTGACTACGCGGAGGGGTTGCTCTATATTTAGTGAGGTATTAAGATATTAGACTCCTAAAGGACTATTTTAAAACCCATATTGAGCTGTCAAAACTACTACTACTTAGCTATAGATAGATATTAATTGTCTCGAAATAATAAAAAGTGAAAAAAAGGAAAAAATTTGGATTAAACTTAGATTAATCAAGTATTGAGACCCACAAATTTAGTACACCACAATTGAAGCCCCTGTACGACCCCAATCATTTATGCAAATCCCAATCCATTTGGATTTTGATAATCTCTGAAATCCTTAGAGTATGCCCAGTTCGCATGGATCTATAAGCTCGACTTATCTTTTTACTTTTTTTTCGGAACGCCCCCTGAACTTTTGCGTTGTGCAGTGCTTTGTATTTTGGACTGTCCTTGCCACTCGACCCCTCCCCCGAATCCGCCCATTCTCCCTGGTGTGAAAAATGCGCGTTGTTCTCGACGCTGCAGGAGATGTATCGACATCGACAGAGCCAGCGGGGTGGACAAAGGGAGCCGGGGCCCCCGGGACCCGGAGGACGTGCAGGTGGCGCCAAGTCGGAATCCCGGCCGCAAATACCATTTAAATTGACAATTTTGCAGCTGCCTTTAAGCTCCCCCACTTGCCACATCGCTCCCTCTTCCCCAAAAGCCCGTATAATGGGCGTGTTGGCCGCAATTCGGTGCGCCCACAATTTTGCGGATGACCGCAGGAACGTACCTGGACATGCGGCGCAGTCGGCGGACTTCTGGATCTGGGGGCCCGGACACTGGGCGCCCCCATTCAACGGCATCGGGTTGTTGCAGGTGCGCGAGCGCTTCCTTCCCTGGCTCGGCTTCCCTGCGCACTTGCACTCGCGCCAGGGACTCCAGGTACTCCAGCCACCGTTCACTGTGGGATGGAATCGGAAGCACAACAATTATGAGCGTTATCGACCAGCAATGCGAACACGAGATGTAAGCAAGAAACCATTGCCTACTTTACGGGGTTTATTAAAAGGATGTATTTAAGGGATGTAAGTTACTAATAAGTTTGGTTTTACTTATCAAATGACTTATTAATATGAGTAAGGATTGTTAAAATATTTACTAGAAAAGTTTGAAATATGAATTTTGAAGTATGAATACTGACCATATACGATGAGCACGGCGGAGTCGGAGACGCGTCTGCCGGCGATGTTCTCCGCGCTGCAGCTGTAGTTGGCCATGTGCTGGAGGGCCACCTGGCGAAAGGTGAGCGTTCCGCCCGACACGCTGATCCCCGGCTCGCTGTCCGCCGTGATGACCGCGTTGTTCTTGTGCCAGGTGAGCTTCGGCTCGGGGAAGCCGCCGGGTGGCTCGCAGCGCAGTTCCGCCCGACTGCCCAGCTCCAGGCGCAGCGAGGTGGGCGACTGGTTGAAGGACTTGCGAATATCTGCGGTGGTTAAAAGACAGATGCCGCACGGCGATGTAGATATGCTCGTAGATTCGACGGCAGATAGGGGTAAGCTAAGCGAGGGTCAGCTGTTGACAGGAAGCCACCCCTGCTGACCAAGGTGTAATGTAAACTACAAAAGGTGCACTTAGACAACATGCTAAAGCCATATTCTGACACTGAGAAAAACTATTGTACTAGAAATTCATATTGGGTAGGTTAGTTTTACCAAACCTTAACCCAAGTAATTATTATAGTTAAACGCGCTTAACTAAGGTAAACAACATTTACATAAATTGGTTAAGAGGTGTACTCACAGGCAATGTGGACGGTGGCCGCCTGACTCTTGACCACGCCACGCGACGACCAGGCGTGGCACTCGCACTTGAAGGGGCCGTCGCCGAAGAACTCGTCCACGAGGTCGCGGTGGATGGTGGCGGTGACTTCCTCCATGTTGACCCCGGTGTGGGGGTCCACGTGGGTCTCGTGGGTGGAGGGCGGCGGCTGCGAGCTGCCGCTGCACTTGAAGATCACCTGCAGGGAGTGGGAGGCCTTGCACTTGAGCACGGCTGGTCGGTTCTTGACCACGAACACGCTCTCCGGCTCGATGAGGAAGATGGGAAGGGTGTTGCTGGCCTCCCCGGGAGTCAGTTTGCCGCTGTTGAACTCCTCGAGCAGGATTCCCGATCCCGCTGGAGCTCCAGAAGATGCTGAGGAGGAGCCCGAAGAAGGCTTGGCGCTATCGTCCTCGCCACTGCTGCCCAGCAGCTCAACGTTGTTCTTGTGCGGCGCCGACTCCTCGGTGACCAGGGAATTGGCGAAGGGAGCCATGGCCGTCAGCGGGTCGATCGCATCCTCCTCCAGGGAGGCGGGCAGACTGCCGTAGTCCAGCTGCGGCAACTCCCCGGAAACTTGCATCAGGATTACCTGCAGGCTAACCAGCAGGGCAATCACACTTCCGGCCTTATTAATCACCGCCATGCTTCGCTGTCGCTGTCAGTTGGCCTGTCGTTCGGAGGACCTGTCCAGTTGTCCCCTTGTCCTGCGCTTCCTGTGAAGGGACACCTGCGATTGCTCTTGCTGCTGCTGGCGATGTGGCAAGCTGGCTGGAAGGAGCTGGCATTAGCATTAGCTGCACACTCGCACTCCGCCGACGAGGTGAATACGATCTGGAAAGTCAGATAGGGAACGCCGGTTAGCTACTGCTTCTGCTTCGACTGGCAATTTGCGCACTTGGCTATAAGGCGATTATTTACCAAGCGGTCTGTCAAGCCACGAAAGTGTCCATGGTTTGACTAAAGTGTTCATATCTTTGACGCACACACTTAGCATTAATAAACTTAAGGTCTTGGATTTAGATTTCTTGGGCTTAGGCGACTAGCTTGTACTCTACTTTGGGTAGATAACTTAAAATAACGAACTACCTGCCCACAAACTCAACTATTTACAGAAAAGGTAGAGCTCCTTTGTATCATAAATTATTCATGTCCCAAGGAATACGTTTTAGAGCACCTGCAGTTTTATGGCGCAAACTCCTTTCCGAATCAAAAAAAAGGTGTCAGTTTCCATCTAATTCTCCAGAACCATCAACACTTTAGGGGTGGCTGAAGGGTCTGATGGGAAAAACAAACAATGCTGTAACAATACCCCTCCATTAAAGATGCTCACTTCAGAAACGAAACTATCTGAAATTGTACTCTCGAGTTTTGATATCATTTCCTGCCCGAGGCAGGCCCTACTTCGGCTCACTCAGATTCCAATCTGCTGTCAGGATCAATGGAAATTCGAAAATGTATCGTCTGCATTTAGGGACACTTCCTGTCCTGTCCGCAGCGCAATCGATGAGTTGTCTCCATCAATCAGGGGACCAATACGCCCCGGCCGACGGATGGCCAAGTGTAGGGCAGCGTGGTCACAAGTTACAAAATTTCCCATTAGCCATGCAAGTCATGCGTCAGGTTCTACGAATCGTTGGTACCTAATCGAAATATTAATAACAGGTATAAGTATGCTCCGCCACACTGCAGCTCTCCGGGCACCTAGGCGGTTTCAGGACGTGGTCTGCTCCACGGGCTGTGGGAAAAGTGCCTTTTGTCTTCGGAGTTATTAAGTGCTCGTTGGAGTGGAGTGGGGATGGAGTGGAAATGGAGGAGGCATGCCTGCACGAACACCGCGATAAGTCCGGCCCCCGTCTTTGAGCCCCACTTCGGGCTGGAGTTTATGCGTTTGTCTTTGTAATTATGTATTAATCATGCATAAGTTAAAACTCAAAAGCCCCCGCTGAAGCGCAAAGGCAAACCCAAACCCAAACCCAAATGCAAACGCATTTTATTGCCGACGACGTGGGCCATTAAAAGGCGCATCAAGTAAAAGTCGATATGTAAATTTTGCGGAAACGCTGATATGCGATAAGTGATTATGTTTGGGGGACCGTGCGCCAGGGCTCAAATCCAAACTCACAACTCCAGCAAATCAGAGGTGCCCAGTAGCAGCCGTGACCACGGATCGTAATAAAATATCGGGTAATCAGAAGTTAAAGGGAAATAATACATTTGATGGGACGTCATCATCGTTTCTTTCGGCTTAAGCGCCTTTATGCGTAATTCAATTGGATTTACAGGGTGCTTGCGGACACTTGAGTGTCTGTCAATATTCTCCTTCGTGTGTGGATTGGATTGGATGGGATGGGTGGTGGTAATGGTAAATGCTATATATGCCATATTCCATTTATGGATATGGAGTGTGGAGTGTGCAGTGTGGAGTGTGGGCGGTCGGGGCAACCATGTAACTGACCAGATTATAATAGTCGTCTTCCGACTCTATCCGCTTTGTTTTGTGTGTGCATTCAATTATAGATGGGATACTGAAGCTCGTTTTGTTTTCGATTTGTCTAGAGTCTAGACTCTTGTTTGACGAGGCCGAGATTGGGCCACATTGTTTGCCGGGCTGCTTAGCTAAATTACATTTCGGCTAAAGTAAATCGATAGCGCCATCAGCGAAAATCGAACTGATTTTCAGCCCATATAAACAAAGCTTATTTATTGCTGCAGCTCCGCTCAAGAATAATGCTGAATCGCGCTGTCAGAGCATATTTACATGACAACGGAACAGCCGAACTGATGGCGAGATTAATCAAAGTCTGGCACATAAAGTACCCCGATTCAATCGATTGGGAGCCTGCCTTATCGGACCAAAAGCGCACTGATCGGGCGGTGGGGTATCGTACATTACTTTTTAATAGATTTTTAATGAACTGAAGTAGGCCGAATGGATTGTAAGAGGCGCTTATCAGCGGCATTTCATTGTCTGCGGGTGTACTTTATAATCGAATGGGTTTTATTTATTGAATGCAAACTTGTCGCTGGCAAATAAAAAACCTGCATTGATTTTGGCACGCAAGCATCCGGGGAACCCCCTACCACTTCCTCATCCTCGAACGAATGACTGACTGAATGACAAACTGTGGGACACACACGCACATGCACTGAGAGATAAAAAATTCACTCCTTCGGGAGTGAAGGAAATACTTTTTGAATATAGTGAACAAGATAACCAGTGTAAAATTGTAAAATTTTTAAATCTTCCGGTGCCATAAAGATCAAACGAAATGCCAACTATATACATACATGAAATATATATAGCGATATGGAAAATCTTGCGAGCGGAAATATGTAAACTTTAAATGGAGCAGTCGTTTCATAATCAGATTAGAACTTAGCTCGCCTAAAGAGCCTTTTATAAATGCTGACAAATAACTAATAAATTCAAATTCAGGCAAATACCTAATAAATTTAAACGAGAGTCTGCAGTACGGTTTCTGATAGTGTTTGCTTTTTATTAGGTTGGGAAAGCAGATTATTCCACAATAGGATTGCTGGATAAAATTCCAATGTTTATAAACCAGTTTACCAACTTGGATGGATATTGATGTGACTGCCTTGTCCACATTCTTTGTTTTTAAATTTTAATAATACTACAAACATTGCACATTTTTGGTGTCACAGCCTTTCAACTAGAAAGGCTAGTGAATGTACATAGATATTGAATGATGTTTAGAACTTTTTCTCTGAGGACCTTTTTTCTCTGTGCAGTCTTCGAGATTTATGGGCAGATACGGCGAGTTGCGTGTGCATGTAATCATCTTATATTGTGAGCAAGAGACGCCAGCGAAGTCCCGCTGAACTTTGATGATTTCCCAAGCTCTCGGATTCCGCGGAGGAGGACGGGATTGTGTCGCCAGCACTTGCTTCCTAGGCAGCCAGCCTGAATGAATGGGAAATGCGAATGGAAGACTGCGTGGGATAATCGGCGTCGTATTCAATTTAATTTCACAACTATTGCGGAGTCTCTGCGAAGTGTAGAGGCGGAGAAGCCCTTCCTGTGCCGAATAAGAACTTCCCAGTGAACTCCAAGAACACAGATTCGGCTCCCATTCGGCGGATAGGGATGGGGATGGAAATGGGAAGGGGGATGGGGATGAGGATGCCGTTGCCGATGGGGATGGGGAACAATGCCAGAACACACAAAACAAGTGAGCATTCTATAAAATAATTGATGACTGACTGACTCAGTTGCTTGGCAGCAATAATTTTATACTTCTGGAGCACTCGCGCACACACTCTCGAGCACTAAAATCAAATGCCACTCGAAACGCTGCGCCAGTCGCTTGGTGACTGCCCTGAAGTGGATCCATGGATGTGGATGTGGCTATGGATGTGGATGTGGACGAGGTTGTGGCAGATGCCGCTGCCTCAATTGCGTGTGACTCGGCTCCCGGGTTTCGCTACTCCTCCTTGTAGTTATGTTGTACAATCGCCGGAACATCTGTAGCACAAATGAAATCTTTAATGCCCAAGGGACCGTGCTGGTAACTCTGAGGCATCTGTATTTCACATGTTGCGCATTTTGCCCACTCACTCGGCAACTTGAGACCTTATAGAGGCAGCTATTGTGAGATCTCAGCTCGCTTCGCATTTTTCGGGCCACGCTCGTCTTGTAATCAAACAATTAAAGATGATTTTAATTAATCTATTTATAAAATCCTCCCCAATGCCGGGCCACCGTCATAACTGCTCAAAATTGAATGCGACGAGCGTTGCTTGATCGAACAACTCGACGGGGGATGCGAGCAGAACGACACAACAAACATCTCTAAATTAATTAAGCGTAATTGTCGAGGAATTAGAAGTAGAAACAAAAGTTTCGAGCATGAGTTATGGGCCAGATACAGCTCATGTTACTACAAGATACGATAGATACGAGTAGTTCGAGCAGCGGGGGAGGACCAGCATACTTGTGCCCCTTCTGCATGCAATAAACAAATTATTTATGATTCCATCAGCAGCACAAGTAGCACAAACTGAGCAACTGATGACGGCCCTTATCATTTGTATCGTATTAGCAAAGTTCTAATGTGTCCGGCTGTAACAAATGATGTCCGTGGCCTAATTTATGTTGCCAAAACTGCTGCCACAAGATGCCAGCTGATGATAGCCAGAGAAAAGCCGAAAAACAGTTGCCTACGCAGGCCGAAGATGCAATGATAAGAGTCTGGCTTATAGAAAGTTCTACCCCGGACTACCTGGGCATGTTAATTCCCTCTTGATTCTCGCCGGCATCGATCGGCTCAGTTCAATCCAACGATTTACGACATTAGCGCTGGCTGCGCCCTTACTACAACCGGCTACCTACTTTCTGAACAAAGCCGGTTGCCGAAAGAAAATGAAAAGAGCCTATTCTTTCACTTCGATCGACATCTAATCCAAAGCTAAGTCTCGTCCCGCTCCCATGAACTCAGGAACACTGAGACCCTGGAACTCTGGAACCTAGAGGAACCCGAACGACCTCTACATATGTTGTCGAACGCCCGAATGACAATTAATCACCGCAGGAGTCAAAGATGTTCATGCAACGTTGTTCCCATGTCCCGAAAACTGAAAATCGAAAACCAAGAGCCTAGCCCTACCTCCAAGCCCTTGTTTGCCCATCGGAAGGGAACAGCTGTATCTGTATCTACGACGGGTTTGAGTTTCGATTACCGTGCCGTTGCACAACCCCTAAAATTATGACTACTGGGCCGAGTGTGAGAACTCGCGAAGGGGTAAGAGCAAGAGCTGCGCGTAAATTGTTAAAAAGCAGAAACCAAAGTGTGAGTCCAATCATTACGTGCATTTGTCAAGGCCTGAGAATTGTTCCGAATGTCGCTGCTGGTTGTCTGAGACCCATACCATTTTAACATAACCATGCCACACAGCACACAGTAATACCATTCCATTTCGGCTGTCTGTCAGTCAGTCGCTCCGTCAGCCAGTCAGCCAGTCAGCCAGTCAGTTAGGACGTTTCGACGTCCAAAGGGGATCATTATATGCCAATTGGCGATTGTTTGTTACCCACTCACCGACTCACCGACCCACCGACCGCCGCGGAGGGTTGGTAATTGCAATCCACATTTGAATTTACATTTGAATAACGGTTACAGGCCAAAATTATAACTGTAATTGCGGCATGTTGATCGCGGCATCCCGCTGGCCTGAGTTGTTAATACAATTGTAGCTGCATCTTTTATCAATGAATTGAGTGCAGCACTCTCATGAGGGCCTCTCAACAGCCGCCCGTCTGAACCCCCGATCCCACTCCTCGACAAGAAAAACAAAAATAAACATACTGAGAAAAAAGATTATCTAAATCGATTTAGAATTTTTAAAGAGTACATCATAATAGGTCTTGAATTCGAATATTTCAAAGCATCATATAAGTGACACAGCATTGCGTTATCTACGAAATTCAAGACATATGTTTCTTGGAAAACTTAATTGACTACCTATTAAATTGGATTGTCATTGTTTAAATTTATAAATGTGGTATGGTGGCGACTGGGTTCAGTAGTCTTCAGTTTAAAATAGGCCAGTAGTCACAAATAAGAAAAACATTTCTTTGCCTCACAAACTGTTTAGGTAAAGCCCTTGATTCCCCTATAATTAACTAGTTATTAGTTTACCAAAAATTAACTCCAAGTTAATGTCTTTTTTTCCTGTGCATTAACACACACCGTTGCACTCACAGCAAATACACATGGCTAAGCGCAATCATAAAATACAAATAAAAATAAAAATACACGATGGCGTTCAAAAGGGCACGCTTTTCATAATAAACATTAGCGAGCGGCCCTTGGTTTGCCATGTCCCCTGTCCCCTGTCCCCCGGCTCCTCCCCCGCGGTCACATGGTTCGAGGGTCGTCCGCTCCGCTCCAGTCGGTTCCGTTTTCCCCTTCCACTCTCCACCCCCCACTCCGCACTCCCCCGCTCCGCGGCAACTGCTCCTGGCTCGCTTGTTTGTTTGTGAATTGGTCGTCTTTAGTTACACTTGAATACGTTTTGTGTGTTGTCGCCGTAGTCCAGTGTTTTGTGTTCGGTGTGTGTGGGTTATGGTTAGCTGGTTGGCACTTCACCTCCTGCCCAATGCACTTTGCACCTTAAAATAGCATTGCAGTGGCATACTTAGCGGCGCAGGAAGTGACTGCAATGCGCCCCTCTTGTGGGCATGTGTGTGTCTCTCCTTTATCCTGTCCGAGCACTGGGGTTTCTTATTATAGTTAAGCATCGCCTCGCTACTTACCCGGTGTCTCGCTTTTGTTGCTCCCGTTTCTGCAGTGCGACCAAAGGAGCGGGCTGTTGTCTTAGGAGCCAACATGTAACCAGATCCAGTTACATGTCCCCAGTCCCCTGGAATCCTTGTCCTGCCTGCCCTCGTCCCTGCGCGTGTGTTTGTGTATCTGTGTGCTTAGGACATCTGTAACCTTATCGCTTTTAGTTTACTTGTCTCCGCTCACACACTCATTATGAGCACTTCACTACGCTTTTCACTCAGGACCGAGAAGATCCTGCTGGTATTATGACACAAGGTAAGGTATCTCTATCCCGCATATATATTCACGTTCACACGATCTCGCACTTGGTTTTCAATACGCGCGCTCGAATATACGAAACTCGAAAACAACAACAACCACCAAAGTGACGAACCGGCGTGCGACCGCTTGCTTCGACGATTCGCGTTGAAATGAGACGTCGACTCGTGGTCGTAAAAGGCAACAACCAAAGGCAACAACCACAGGGCCTGCACTCAAAGAAAAAATTACCCTTAAGACAATTTACTTGTAATACAGTTCTGAAAAAGACTATAAGCCTTAGAAAATTACGTACTATAAATGCTGACTTAAAAAAAAAATCAATCAATTTGAAATTTTTGTTTTTTTCAGTAATTTTCACATTTAACTGAATATTGATTAAAGAGTCACAGAAATTTTTAGGATTTTTTTGATATGTTTAAACCATTACTTTTCCAGAATTGTTACATGACTTTCTTTCTGAGTGTAGTTGTGCTCTTTGATTCGGAGTCAGAGAGCGCGTGGCGCTATTCCCTCTCTCGTTCTCTCTCTTTCCCACGCAGCATCCCCAGGAGGAGCATGTTGTCCGTTGTTGTTGTCCGCAGCATATGTGCAGGAAGTGGGGAGCACTGAGCAAGTGAGAGAGAGAGAGAGTGCTCTCCCATTTCGGACGCACTTTACGACGTGGATGTATTTGCCTACGTATATGTATGGGTATTAGCTCCTTGGCTATTTTGTATCTTTCCTGCCTCCGCCCGCTGGTTGTTGTTGTTGTTTTTGCATTCTAATTTTACGCACTGGATTCCTGAGATGCTTTCATATTCCATTCCCGTTTGATGATTTATTGACTGCAGCGGTAATTAAAGGGCCTTTAGCGCTGCTTTTTATCAACTTCGCTCGGTGACATTGGAGTTTTATTTATATTTTGTTGTGCGCGCACACCCACACCATGACCGAAACACTACGCACTTGCTTACACACACATTTACACACCTTTGCTAGGAAATTTTCGGTTGGCTTTTTCCATTTGTAATTCCAAGTTATTTCACTTGAACTTTACCATTAATGCCGATTTAATTGCACATTTTACGGGCCAGACATTGACTGCAGTTTTTCCGACAACTGTGCGTTTTGTCTTTTTGTTTTTCCGGGGAGCGCATTCCTTTCGCATCACTCAGTCACTTTGGCTCAAAATTGGAGCCTGTGCTCCCGCAGATTACTCCCACTGGCCAGTGTGACCAACCGGCACCAAGGGCTCCAATCAGGGTTGAAGGTTTTCGTGGAGCGACTTTGAATCCTTTGGCGCTAGCCTTGACTGATAAGAAAGTAAGCTCAACGTAAAACTCAAGGACTTTTACAAAAATGATAAGAAGCTTTGACTGAATTTGTTTTCTTTTTAATGTTTTCTTTTTTAAAGGGTTTGGCTCCAGATTCGGTCGGCCTAATAATTTTTTATAATATTGTTTAAAAACTAAAAAAAACTTTGTTGCGTATACGTTATTTTTGTTAGGATCAGATCAGGGGCCGAAAAACCGACCATCATTATAAGAGCTATGAGCTCCGGAAGTGCAGATGTTCTTTTTGCAACATTATCAGGAGAAAATCAACCTTCACCAAATTAAAAAATTTGAATTTAAACTTGTCATCAACTGCTGATAACAGCAGTGTACAATTCCCATTTTAGCGGCATCTAACTGTGGTTTTTTGAACTATATTTTTTTACATTTATTTTTACGCGATTATTCTACACGATTTCTTGTGAAGTTCATGGAGTTGGCCAACTGACGAAACAACCCTTGTCGGCGTTGCCAGATGAATTGGTTTTTTTAAGTACACAGTTCAAAAATTTGTTCAATAAAGTTCGAACTTCTTAAAGTTATTAGGGTGGCGCCCAGCGACCTGTCCGCCGTTCATTAAAGCACAATTACCGCCACCTCCACATTGCGAATTTAATAAAATGATAAACGTCGGGAAGCTATCCTTCTTCGGCGAAAGTGGCCTTTAACATGGTCCTTCGGAAGTAGGAACTAAGGACGGGAGCAATCCGAAGCCGTTTTTCCTGCCGTTCGATGAATTCCACCTTAGAAATGAAGATGGCCACTTATGGTTCTTAACTGAAGGACTGAAAAGCGCTGGTGAGGATGGTATTGAAGCTAAGCGGGCAGGAGCTGCGGATCGTCTTATCTGAGGAGGTGTTTTTGTTTTAGTTTGATTCGATTCCCTTACTTCCCTTCTCTTTTTAGATACTTTTTAAACTGGACAGTTGTGGTTCACCTGTTGAGCCACCCAGAGCTGGCCAAATTCTTCGTTGGTCAACAATAACAAGACAAATGATCGAGCTGCAAGGTGCCTTTTTGGCAAAGATTTCCCTTCCCGGTTGACCAACCGCACCTAGTTTGCCGTTCATGGAAAATAGATCTACAAGAGCCGTGCCATTTAACATTCAAGACACAAAACATATTTATTTAAATTTGTCATAACTTAATGCACGAGTTAACTAGTTCTTATACATGTCGCAGAGCACCTTCTCCATGGGCGTGTTGCCAATGGTGCGCTGGAAGAAGATGGCCTCGATCTTGTGAGAGCTGATCATCCGCAGCAGTGGCAACATGAGCAGGAGTCGTCCGAACCTGGCGATCTGGGCCGTGAATTGGGTCTTTGTGTGCTGCGACAACATCACCTGTTCGAATAGTAACAACAGATGATCTCACAATACCAATTGCATAATGTATAGCCTACTTACGTGCGCCTGATCCTGCAGGTTCTCGATTTGCGCCGGATCCTTCAGCCCGCGTGTTTCCGGTCGAAACAAAACTATCGCCTTGAGACAAGCGAACTCTGCGGGATCCACGAGGACCGCCTTGTACTTGCAGAAGATCTCGTGGAGGGTTCGAACATCCGCCGCAAGCTGCCGCAATTAATTGATTATTATATCTGAAGGAAAAACGTGGACATGACTTACCTCCTCCTTTGTCATGCAAGTGTCCCCGTTGGCGTTGTTCTCCAGGTTGTTGCAGTGTTCCGCCACCGAAAAGAGGGCACAGCCCGTGGGATCTAGGGGAATGCACCACTGGATGGCATTCAGCAGGAACAACTCAGACCAAGACTCCTCGAGCAGAATCACCTGACACAAAAGAGGATGTTGTATTCTTAAAACCACATACTGAATTGAAAACAGAAGTGACTACCCTGTGTCTTCCATTAAAATTTCACCAGGTAGCTTAAAATCTAGGAATAATATAAACCCACCTGATCCCGAAAGGAGAGGCGTGCGAAACTGGGCAGGTTCTTGGCCCACTTGACGGCCATGAAGAGCAGCCGGGCACTCGTCTCATAAACCGTTTCGTGCTGATGAGCGTAGAGATTGGGTGACATGAACTGTGGCATGATGAAGCTCGAGTCCGATCTGCTGACCGCGTGCGGCTCCTCGTTATCATTGGTTACATCTATGGAGTCGTCTGGAAAGTTAACCAAAGGGGATTGGATTTATATAATAAAGCAGATCTATGTACACTACCACACGAAAGCAATCTAGTTTGATTTATATAATTCGTGTTGTAATTTCTCAAAAATATCCATTTGCTCTTCTTATTTTAGAGGTACCCACCATCATTGTCGTTTTCCATCGTGGGACTGGAGGAGCTTATCGATGAGACACTGCCGCCGGCGTTGTTCTTCTCCTTGGCGTTTTCCGGCGCCGGGGAGCTGGGATCGATGGAGTGGTTGCTGCTCGAGTTGGTCGAGTGGGAGACGTTGCCGCTGTTGGCCATCTCCATGCCGTAGGCCTTCTCCTTGGGCGAGTGGTGCACCCCGGCGGCATTGAACATGGGAAAGCTGCCGGCGCCCATGTGGTTCGCGGCCAACTGCATCGAGGAGGTGAGGTGGTTGTGGTGCAGCAGTCGTCCCGTCGGCAGGCTGCCCAGTGCTGTTCAGGAATCAGGGAGAGCAGTGCATAAGTTATTGAGTTATGTGATAAACCATCCGCTGGGGGCAGCAACTACTCACCGGGCGGGGGGAGGAGTCCGGAGCCGTAACAGGGCGGCGACAGTAGCACGGGTGGTCTGCAAATTGGAGTTGCCCGCAGAATTGGGCGGTTAGATAGAGTTATGCAAACGACAAGCCAGCCACGCCACATGCACTCAGAAAAAACCGGAGTGCTTTCAATAACATAAGTATTATATGTATTGGAAAACCATTTATTCCATACTTTTATATTCACTTATATAATTGATATCTCTTTAAGGTTTTGTATTTTTGTATTATTTTGTACTTAAATATTTTTATAAATATTTATCGCGATTTAAAACACCCAAAATGCAGTCGTAATTAGTCGTAATAAAATGTTTATAAAAACATTAAGGGGGTCTTCCTATGTGACGGCCTGTTTTTTAGGGATATTTTAGGATTTTTTTCTACGACCAGTAAATATTTAGAGCTTCGAGTTTTTTATCATTTGTTAACACATATTTGGACAGTATAAATAAAAAATTTCAGCTAAAAATATTCAGTCAAACTAGAGTTACAGCGCTCTGAACACCCCCGCCTCGAAAAAAAGAGCTCCCACTTCCTCCACGATTCCGGCTGATCGGCTTATCAGAAAAAAAAAAATAAACGGCGTTTTAATTTGTAGGCTTAAATGCACGGAATGAACTACAATCAAATGAATATAAAAAAAATTGGATTTTTGATAGACATTTGAAAAAAAGTTGCAAATTTGGCGTTTTTTTTTTTTGTTTTTTGCTATAAAAAAATCGAAGTTTTGAAAATTTTCGATTGATAGTAGTTCATTCCATGCGTTTACATATATTGAGTGTGCCCTGTAAATTTCAAGTAATTCGGTCCAGCCGTTTCTGAGATACAATGGAGGAAAGTTTGAAAAACACAGTTTTGAGAAAAACGCGTTTAAAGTTTCTAACTGCCAACTCAGCGCTCCGAACCGCTCTTTCTTTTACCTGCTGTATCTTTAAAACGACTTCGAATTTTCTAAAATCGCTTTACTACCGTATTCTAGACATGTTAAGGGAGCAATTTATGAAAAAAAAAAAAAAATCGATTTTTTCAATCCATCACATAGGAAGACCCCCTTAAGTGCTATGAGAATAATTCCCACAGAATACAGGGATGGTCAAAAGTATTTGGGTGAAATATATTCAGAACTTGATCTTGCTCCGCTTAACTTTTGGCATCAATGGAAAGTGCATCATTCAAGCGGCATTTAAATTACCTTTCCATTGATACCAAAAGTTAAACGAAGCAAGCTCGAGTTTCGAGTATACTTCACTTTTATTTTGTGAAAATACTTCTGACCACCTTTGTATAGAACTTAGAATAAATACTGAAGCATTTTTCTCGAGTGCACGGCGGTGGAAGGAGACTCACCCGAAAACCCCGACGGCCACGGCCGCCTCTCGCAAGGCGCGTCCGTGCTCCATCTCCCGCAGCGTTTCGGGCCGTATAGTGGCCGTGTTGCGGGGCTGTCGCTCATTTTGCACGGCTGTAATTGGAAAACAAATGCAACTAGCATGAGCACTCAGAGTCTAGTTGATGGCGGCAGTGGTTATGGACGTGTCCGTAATGAGGAAATGTCACACTGACAAAATCGCTCCGAGGCGCACAGGTAGCGGGAAACACACACACAGGAAACAGGACGAAAGCCGGAGGACGCGTGTGCCTCGGCTTTCCTCATCAGCATACCAGGATATACGGAGTCTCCCGAGGACGCGAGCCGCGCAAGGACATCCATTGATGGCAAATTGGTTTTGCGGTCACGTGCCGCTCACGCCCACAAATTGTTTCGCCATTTGTTTATGCAATTTCACCGCACAATGAGGCCCGACCACAAAAGCTACTTCGCTAATGGCGGATCCACAAACTGTGGCTATTTTCCATACGGCTCGCATAATTTACGGCTAAATTAGAGATCCGTAATTGAGTCGGCAAAGTGTGTGAATCGTCCCTTGGGATAAAATATATCTTGAATGCGAAGCATAAGCAGGAAAATGTGTGTTTTATAATCCTTTCTTTAATTTACATAATAATTATGTTTCATAACAAAAACGATTACCTTTTAATGTCAATGGTAATTATTTATTTATACGTTACGAAATAGTAATTTTTATCAAATCATATTATTGCCCCGAATTTGATTAACAAAACTTCACCTCAACCATAAATAAAACCACAATGAGTTCGTATTGACATTGTAAACCTGAAACTGACTGTTCGACTATTTACTATTCAAGAAACCGAACCTCTGTTCGCTCGAACTTTCTGCAGCCATCAAAAGAATGAGGAGAACTTTCAGTCGAAGTGAACAATTGGGGTTCAGTGAAGTGGCAGCGCTAAAGCTGCACAAAATCTGTCAAAGACAACAGGAGCAGCAGGTAACAAATCAATTGGGTGAGCAATATGTAAATAAGGAGCACCCTCGCTCGCCAGTGAGCCACCCCAAAAAGGAGGATGCTCTTTCCGAAGGACTCAGTTTCCTCGTGGGAAAGGGTTAGAGTTTAGTGGAAAGCGGGAGCACGTGTGCCGGGCTTTTGAGGTCCTGTTAAAGACCAATTAAACCCGGTTCAGTTCATTAGAGCGCGCTGAGTTATGATAATGCAGTCGGTAATGTACTCACCGTCCTTGTTCATTCCCATTTGAAGGCACTTCTTGAGCCTGCAGGCCTGACATTGGTTCCGATGGGCCTTGTCCACCACACAGCGTCCAGTTCCCGCCTGGCAGCTGAAAGGGAATTCGGAATCGATTAAAATAGTGCCAGGACCTAATCAGGTTATCCTGCGCAGACAACGAGGTTGGTAGTGTCAAAAATTGCAACATTTGTCGATTTCGGTGGCGAACACAAAGCAGCAGACTAAGGCCAACCGAGCGGAAGTTCAGCCACAAGAGCTCTTCTGAATCTGCTAGATACACAGGACCTTCCGTTCCATCGACCTCTCGTCCTTTGTTCTGCCCCCGTGGAACCTTAATCAAATCAGGGCTGAGTGGCGTGTCCCACCCACTGAAATCCGGTCCAGAGAAGCCATTTTTAGCCCAGTCATCGCCTCCCTTTTTGCCACTAAGCCTGCGCCAAAACTCAAAGATGGCCAACGCTCCTAGGCAGCTCTGGCAGTCCATTTCGCTCCCATTTTATGTCCTTCGTGGCGCCTCGTCTCGAGTCACTTAAGCAAATGTATCCTTGAGACACAGCCCTAGTGTGTAATTGAGGTATTTTGTGTATGCAAATGTCCGATTTTCGTAAACAAATCAAGGAGATTGGATATGTGTGAATGGGCGTCCCATTCCTTTGCCTTGCCAAGTTGTGTCTATAAAAATAATCACATAATATCCCAGTCTCTGAACATCCAGAAATAGACGATGAACGCATCTACGTAGACCAAAACCACACAGAAAGAATCCGTAAAAGAACCAAATTCCCATCAAGGCTTTAATAATTAATTTAGTTCTTTATAAAAATAGTTTATATTAAATAGTTGGTAACAAACTATTCGATTAAATATATAAATTCCGAATCGGACATTTTATATGTTCTTTCCTTCGAGTTTGGCTCGAAAGTTCTGATTGGAAGCAATTGATTATAATTGAAAACGGCTTAATGGGACCACCGGAGACAAGGATATAAAAAGGACCAGGGGACAGATTGACTCTGTCGACCATCGGAAAACAAGTCACGTCGGTGAAAATATACACTAGACCGGTTCCCGTTCGTGCCCCTTATCCTTTCCCTGTCCCTGTCCCTGTCCGGAGTGTATCCCTCGCTTAGTCATTCCTGAGCAGGGGAGGATGTGCTCTATTTTATCCCGGGCCAAAGAGAACCGCCCCCATTTTTTGACTTTGTTGCGATTCGGCTTAGTCGTCGGTGGGCGAAGACGTCGGGAGTGCGGATGAGGGAGGGTGCCAGGTCACATTTGGCCAAGTGTTTTGCGCTTAAGCCCTCCATATCAATCTCATGGGACCGCAAGGATATAGAGATTTCGACATTTGTGATTTACCGCGATGGCTGGAAAGCCGCAGAGCAAAATACACATTACTGTATCATAACTTTATGTTTTTGCCGGCATTGATTCTGTCGCATTGGCTTATGGGATTCCTTGTGATTTAATGATAATTGAAAGCCTAAAACAAACTTTGTTCAGTTTTTGACTGCTTTTATTTTTTTTGTCGGGAAATTCCCGATAAAATTCCGACGTCAAAAAAGTTTTAAGCGATTTCACTTTAAATTCAATTACATTTTAAGCTGCAATCGGGGGAGAAGGCAAAGTGGCATCCGCACATGATGCCATTTTGGGCACAAAGTCAACGCGAGGGCAAATATGCGCATTCAAAAGTTGACGCTCAAATCCCAAAGATTTGAATAATTGTAATGAATTTGGCAGAGCGCGTAATCCGCCAGACGAGCCTTTGGGCACAGCGCCCCTTCTCCAGCACCACCCACTTTTGGGCAAATGTTGCAACATTTAATGGAAACGAAATGGTAATGGCTGGATTTAGGTCCATTGTTAAGGGTACACAGGAAAAAGCGAGCTGATTATTTTGCCATCTATCAAGGAACTTAAAAAGGGGATTTAAAACAATATGCAACAACTACAATGTACAACCATTTTAAAACTATTCCCAACAACTAAATGTTTACAGAAGCAACATTAACTGAACTTTACGCCAACATTACTCACATTTTTCTATGATTTAATTTTGGTTAATATTCGAAATATGGTGCCTCAAAATTAAGTAATTCTCAGTGGCTTAGGTAATATCTTTTAAGAGTTTTAAAACCACTTTACCATTACATTTCAAACTCAAAGAACCTGAAAGAAAAACAATTCTCTCCGTGTAAACCTACCGATAAATGAGTTTTCGCCGCACGCTGCGCTTGAAGAATCCTGAGCAGCCGTTGCAGGCCAGGATTCCGTAGTGCTTTCCGGAACTGGTGTCTCCACAGACCACGCAGATGAGTCCCAGATTCTGACCCTTAATCCGGGTCATCGACGAGGGCTCCTGTGCCGAGGAGTGGTTCATGGAGTTGGCCGCCGCTGCAGCTGCTGCACCGTGGTTCCAGCTCAGCAAGCGACCGACCACATTCTGGCCAGCGGGATGAGGGGGCGGAGGCTGTGTGGGCGGGGCCACGCTCCCTGACGTCGGTGGGGGCGGCGTGTAGCAATGCCGCTGGGGACTGTGGAGCCCTGCAAAAGACATGGTAATGGTATCTCGTAATTAATAAATTTAAAATAAGTATTACTTCTTCTTCAATTGATATCTGCATTATTATCACACATGTTTCAAAAACTGTGAAAATGATTCAGTTAAAGGCAGATAATATTGTAATGCTTTGTTCGATCTCACTTAAGCATAAACCATTCAAAACTTCCGACCTGACCTTAGATCTCCCCCTTTTCCCTAAGTGCTAACGGGTGGTGCAATAAAAAATCACTTATGTAGTTCATTTAAATTAAATCTCAATTTGTCAGTTGTACCGGATTGTGGTGGTCGGGGAGGACCTGCCGATCTTATCCTTGCGTGGCGACATCGACGCCCTGTAATCCGCAAATATATTTACACATTCAATTAGGGTGCCATTAAGCCAAACGGCTCTCGCTCTCGACCAGAGCGTGCCGAGCAATCTGTGCGCAAAATTTGCCTCGGGGGACGATTGTTTTGCCATCACACCCTAATTTGATTGTAGTTTCCTTACTGATTTTTTGATGCACTTAACCCCCGAAGGACCGAGGACGAGGACACATTTGCTACACTCGCCACTTGGCTGTGCGCTCGACCATTTGGGTTTCGTCCTGGGCTCTGGCTCCGGATCGCAGGACAAAGTCAGAATGCTTTTCAGCCGGGACCAACTGGCAGGGCTGCGGTCTAATGCCGGCGGATTAGCGTCATATGCTTGTATTTTCCGGGTCTCCGTCTTTGTTAATTTTATGAGCTCGTTGAAATTCACTTTGGCCCACACAAAAGTGTTAAGGGCGCTCGCTGGCTGTGTTTTGAATTTCTGAATTTTTGGCGGCCTGACTCGAAGCCTAATTCAATTTGGTGATTATCGCAAATTGAATTTTCTGGGCCACTCGTGCATGCCATCGGGAAGTTGGGCATCGATTTAATTTGAGTGTCTCCGCAGACAGCTCGTTGCAAATCGCTGATTGGAATTGGATATGTGTTATCAGAGCAGTCAAAACCAATCGAATTGTTGCTTTTCGTTTGAATTTTCGGCAAAATATTTTTGTTGGTCGGTTTTTTGTTGTTTTAGGCTTATTAAAACCAGTTTTTTAAAACCAATTCCTAACTAACTATAAGTTTATTGTTTAATTAAAAAAGTGACAACTTTTTAGACAACTTCAATTGGATTAGTTTGATTTATAATTGATTTTAGTGGTTGACATCCCGCGAAGAAGACAACACATTTATTATATGTTTTTCCGACGAAAATTTTAAAGCTAAAGATAAAGGATTAAATGTGTTTAAATTAATATAATAATCCGAAAACATTTTTTGTTTATGTCGTGCCTGGAATTAATTGAATAAAATTATTTTCTTTGCCAACACTTGATTTTCTTTTCAATTAACCTTTTTAAAATCTTTTTTTTTGGTATGACTCAAATTGTCTTCAGCAAAAAAAACCAGGAAAAAATGTAATTATGTTTTACAAGCCATTTCCCTTAAAACGTGATTTTGCCCCTTATTTAAGAAGCATATAAGCGTTGTACTTTTTAATTTTTCTCATATGCTTGTCGCCTTTTAATATACAAAATTATGAACATCTGTTGGCAGATAGCAATGATCACGTTATTTATAAACGGTTTAAGCACCACTCCATCACCATTTACTTTTAAGCCTCTGGTATTTTGAGTCTTTCAGTTAGATTTAAATTTACCTTGGGATGAGGGGCGCGTTTCAGATGAACTTTCTTCTTTATTCATCGTGTTTTTTTGGAGAGTGTATTCAAATCGCACGGAAACTTAGGGTTCGGTATTAGGCAACACACTAATTTTTTTTAAAGCAACACTATTAAAACACAATTATTAAGCTCCATAATTATTTTTATCCTTCGAGAGACGGCGGCAACTGCAGTGTCCTTCCGATTCCCGCTGATGAAACCGAACCAACCCGATCCGACGGCACTGCGAATATGCGGCGATGATGATGTTAACGTCTCGATGTACGATTCCAGATTCCGGATTTCAGATTTATCATAAAAGCGTGACAGGAGCTAAACAGTGATGTGTCCACTCCAGCAGACGGCCAACCAGCGCCAGGACTAGGAAAAAAAGCATATCGCAGGATATAATCCGCGGTCGCTGAGTGGGCAGAGGGTGTGTGTGTGAGGACAAAAAGCACGGCACACACACACCCACCACCAGCAAGAGCAGAGAGCATCGAGCATCGAGCAGCGAGCAGCAAGCAAGGAGCAGTGAGCGAAGGATAACCGCACTCCACCCACCCGCCAACGGAGACTTTTAGTGGCAACTCTGGTGGCGCATTTGCTTGTTGGCTTGCTTTGATTCGTTCCTTCTTGATGCTGCGGCAGGAGCTTGTCCTTGTTAGTGAGTGTGTGTGCGTGTGGGTAAGCCAAGCCACAATCGCAATCTCCAATAAACACCCGGCTCTGCGCTCTCTGCGCACACACACAAGCCCACTGCACACACTGCAAAAAGCAGAGAGCGCTCGGCCGCCATCATGACTCAGAACCAGAACCAGAACGGGAGGCGGGCGGAAACGGAAGTGCGGCGGGAGAGCGAGCAAGTGGCAAGCGGAGCAATGGTGGCTCCCCACCAATACACCCACAAGCCGAACGACGCAGCTGCGCGGCTGGCGCTCCTATAATCGTCTTGGGTTTTGACATTTTGTTTTTGTTTTATAATACCCTTTGTGATGTCGGCGCTTTCGAGTTGGCTCCGGTCTTTCCCGCGTCCCTCTGCCGCCCCCTTTGACCCTCTTCCAACGACGTCACTCTTGGCCCCGTCTTCTACTGGCCCCCTCTTCCACCCATCACCTCCCAGTTAACTGTAATTGAATTGAAGAGAAAACTGTTTTTGCTGGTGTACACAACCTGGTATCTGCGTGAAGTGGAGCAACATTTATAGCTAAGGGAGTTAAGAGAAGTGATTGTTAATACGAGTATACAATTTTTTAAACCAATTTTTTTCATAACAATCCCTGAAAATTTGGAAGTGTTCCACATATTTCGCATAAAAACAAACAGTTTTTCTTAATATTTTACGATTTTGGTTATTATTAATTGATAGTTATTTATAATTGCATGATGTCGACCTAAAACTCAATTAGATCATCAGTTCAGCCAACTAAAAACTTTATTGAAATTCTGCGAATTTGGCTTGCAAGCTAGGATGTACAAGATGTTTTTGCTGGCCTGACATGCAAAAACTAGAGTTGAGATTTACCCTCAAAATGTTGTAGTCGCCTTTAGAGTCCTCTGTTAATCTGTTAAATACAGATGCTGGGTCTTACAATACCATACACTAGCAAGTGGATATCAGCAAATTAAGAAAGGTATTTAATGGTCATTTTTCAATTTAATAAATGTTTATTTTCTGGCTTATAAATAACAAATGTTTTTGGTAGTGTATTGCCATTTATTGTACATTTTATTTACCTTTTGTATATTATAATTTTGTGGCTTATTGCAAAGCGCTGCGATTCAAGGTTTTGTTCAAAGAGAGCCGAAGGTGCCCCCGGCTCCACTAATCCAATAATCGATAAATGTTGCCTCCAGGCTGAAACCGGGTGGCATGGGGAATACAAGCGGGGGTTTTGCTTCGCTCCCCGATTTTGTTGTGGGGCTTTTGCCATGCTTAATGCGCCGACATTAACTTTGTAACAAATGAGATGTCGGAATACAACAGTCAGGATCCTGCCAAGCCGCAGCCCCTCTTCGCTCCTTGCTCCTTTCTCCTTCCGCCGCTCCTGTCTCCACTTTCTCGCTCTCTCTCTTTGGGGGAGAAAGCCAGAGAGCAGCTGCGGCTGGCAGAAGTTTATGCTCGGGACAAAAGTGAACAAATGCAAAAGTCAAAGCGCTTTGCCGCCATGGCCACGCCCATCTCGCCGAGGGAGGAGCAAGAGATAGCGAGAGCAAAGGAAAGAGAGAGAGAGCGGCGTTATCCTGTAATAACCGTGCATTAAGGACTCCAGGCTGTACGAGCGGGACAGCCATTTCTGAGCGAGCGAGACGAACAGAGGCGACGGCGGGGTTGGTTCTTGACATTTGAACGGCGACATTTCGCATTGCCAGGATACATACACGAATACACCCACACCGACAAATCTCTGCGAATCTCACCCACCCAAAAGGGAGGGGGCGTGAATGGGGGCGGTTGGTTTTTGCAAACCTCATCAAGTGCAGTGCACTTTATTTAATCAATCAAAATTCATGGGCAGACTCTTTTATTCAACATTCAGACACTTTGTATCTTTGATTTACGTTCCATTAAAGCACGATTCCTTAGTTCAGTAAATTTGCTTCTTTACGTAGCGGTTTTAGGATCGTCTTAAGGTAGTTTTTTTATATTTATTTAATTAAAAAAAAGCACTGCTTTTCAGTAGCATTATATAAAAACCTTAAAAAACGTTAGTGAAACAACTCGTTTATTCGCATTTTATTAATCTCAAGCTCTTCAAATGTTCCAAATTGTTATCAACACAAACGACTACATACTTGTGAATTAATTGTTCAAATAAAACTATTGTACTATAAACAATCTTAGTACTTCCGAAAAACGCTGGAAAATGTTGGGTCATATTCGGATTATCGTCGAATTTGTTTCTTCCAAACACGCCTCCTCTGTTTTCCTTATCATTTTGTTGTGGTTTGCACCTAGTGTTTAACCTTTGTCAACGCTATCAAATTTTTTGGGTTTTTCTACAGGGTAAACTTTACTGAATGAGCATCTGCATTCAAAATATTTTCATTGACCGCTTGTTAAGTTTAATTGAATAATGACAGGATTAATATTTACCATTATTGTCATCATTAAAATTTTTTAATAACTAAATAACTGTTTGAAGATCGGAACCCTCGGTTCAATGCAAAATAAATAATGTCCACTAACAGGTAACATTAGGTCGATCCTGCTAACCCTGCTGTTTTTGTGGGTCGGGTATAAAAGGAAAAAACCTTCGCATTCGACTCTTACTTAAAAAAATAGAGAACATGAAATTATTGGTGAGTAAACTAATTAAAGAAAAGAGTGTTTGAAACTCATATTTCATTTTTTAAAGATGTTTGAGCTTGCCCTGGTGGGCGCTGTTTTGGCCAGACCTGGATATGATGGAGGATTAAAGACAGAGGTAGAGTTTGTCGGTCAGAAAGGATATGGCGAACCCAATCCCCAGGTCAGTGTGGAAGGATATTCCGGCGGAAGAGGAGGATACGGCGGAGGAAGTATTCCTAAAATACAACGAGGATACAATCAGGGCGTACAGAGCCCCCCATTAGGTTTGGGAGGCTATTCCGGCGGACAAGGAGAATACGGAGGAGGAATCGGTCCTAAAATACAAGGAGAATATGGTCAGGGCATACCGAACTCCCAAGCTAGTTTGAGAGGCTATTCCGGCGGACAAGGAGGGTACGGAGGAGGGATCGGTCCTAAAATACAAGGAGAATATGGTCAGGGCATACCGAACTTCCAAGCTAGTTTGAGAGGCTATTCCGGCAGACAAGGAGGATACGGAGGAGGGATCGGTCCTAAAATACCGGGAGAATATGGTGAGCGCATACCGAACCCCCAAGTTAGTTTGGGAGGACAAGGGGAATACGGAGGCGGTCGGGACGGACAGAACACCGAAATTGCTTTGGGAGGATATTCCGGCGGACAAGGAGGATACGGAGGAGGCATCGGTCCTAAAATACAAGGAGAACAACTTGGAGAACCCGAACTTGAACATGTCCCATGTCATAATCACGGGCATCATGGAGGATACGGGCATCAAGGACATCACGAGCATCACGAACATCATAGAGGTTACTAAATCGCTCTTTTTCAACATAAAAAAACATAAAGAATAAAAGTCAAAATTATCGTTTCCCTATTAACTGAACACTATAATCTTGTTACATATTATGTATAGGAGAGGTTTGAACTCAAAGTAAGGGTGAGAGGGTTAAAACAGTCATCCAAAGTCTCCATGCAAACATATACATAACAAATCATATTGACATCGACTCGGAAGGTGATGATGATACGGATCAAGAATATTTATGCTTTATGGGGTTAAAGGTCTCCTGCATCGCAATTACAGCATCCTCGGCAAGGGTTCACAAAAACAGAGAAATAATCTAGGCTTAAACATCGAACTTTACTTTTATCTGCCCTTATCTATAAACGGCAACACCAGACATAACAAATCCTATCGGGTTTCAAACGTGCCGCGTATAAAAGTGCACAATCATTCATGTGAACTACAAATTATTATTCAAAAACAAAAACACTTGCCTAATTTGTGCTTCCTATTTCTGTGATTAAGATTTTGTTTTCAAATAAACGCTATTGTGTGCGCTATCAAACTTGTGGGTTTTTTACAGGGAAACTATTGTTTAATGGGAGTATGATTAGGAGTAGTTAATTAGTTAATTAAACTGCTCAAGTTTAATTTGAATGTAAGTTGGTCTAAGAATACATTTTTGTTCAAAGATTTTTCTTTTTTATGGTAAAATAAAGTAGGTCATATTGAAAGATTAGTAATAGAATCACGTAGCGATAGAATTGATTAGAACGCAAAGAAACTGGGTGTTGTTTAGTCCGAACGAAATAGCGATTAAATTTCGAGGGTCTGGTATAAAAAGGGCCAAGCATCAAAATCATGTTCAGTTTCAAAATCCAAGTCAAGATGAAATTACTAGTAAGTCTGCTGGTCTGTGGAAAGAACACAACAGATTCTAAATGCTTTATCCTTTAGATTGTCCTGTTTGCCTTAATGGCCGCTGTTTTGGCCAGGCCGCAAGGAGGATTCGGTGGTCAAGGAGGATTCGGCCGAAATCAAGGAGGGTTTGGGGGTCAAGGAGGATTCGGCGGAAATCAAGGAGGATTTGGCGGTCCAGGAGGATTCGGCGGCCAAGGAGGTTACGGCGGAAATCAAGGAGGATTCGGCGGTCCAGGAGGTTTCGGCGGAAACCAAGGAGGATTTGGCGGTCCAGGAGGTATCGGTGGTCAAGGAGGATTCGGCGGCGGACCCGGAGGATTTGAACACCAAAGACATCATGGTCATCATGGTCATCACGAACACCGTGGATATTAAATTCCAGACTTATAAAAACCAATTATGAACAATATAAATAAACAATCTGTTTCCAAGCCAACTGAACATTGACCTTCTGGATTGTTGTCATATTTTCGTTTTAATTTTTTCCGGCCGATGATAAGGTGTACCCTTTAACCCAAACATTAAAAGTGCTGCTAGACAATTTCTCTTTCGGCTGTCGCAAAAAAAAGTATTAAAAACTGAAAACATTAATCAATTTTTATATAGTCTGCCTGTTATATGAATCGTTTTTCATTGACGATCTAGAGTGATAATAGTGTCTTAAATACGGTGCTTATTTTGTACCCACCAGAAAATAACAAAATCAAACTTTTTATTTACCGAAGTATCAAACCCAATGCCCAATGACCAATGTCGGAGGATATCTTCATAAACTGAGTGAGGATTGGGAAACAAAGAAAAATTATTGCACGCCTTGTTTCACAAATCGTACTCAGGTACGACCAGGTACATTTACCCTCCAAATGATGCCACTGCATGTGGCATGTTTACTTTTCAAATTCAGCGAACAATACAAACCAAATGCGCTTGACACTGAAGTCGGGAAGTCCGTACGGATACAATTCCGGGGTTAGTAAATCCAGACCTCTCCCTTATTCAGATCGATAGCTGTAGGAATTTGGGAAGTAATGAGGGACCATAGACACACATTGAGGAAGGCACAGTTACTATTTCGTTATATTTTGAAGACTCTGTTTTAATCTAAATAGCAATCTATAGGTTTGTTCAATTGTTTGTTCGGTGTTTTCTTTTATTTCGTTTGTTGTTGTATATGGGCTTTAATTTGAATATTTATTTACAATTTATTTAAGACTCGTTACCCTCGTTCAAGTCAAATATAGTAACAGTTGCAATAAACAAGCTTTCAACTTATTGCTTACGTGTCTCATCAATATAATTTACAAGAAAAACTTACTTAAGGCTAATCTCCGTTGATGTTTTGCTTTATGTCTGTGCTTCACGCATAATTTACTTTACGGATATTTACCGGCTGCTAATATTGTTGATGCTTTGTTTATCTGTAGGTATGTGTATTTTTACTAGTGAGAATATTGGTTGGTTAATTGAGAGTTTACATATATAATTACTATATATATATCTGACTTCTATGTACCATTTCAACATTTGTTATTTATGTACGTTCGTAGTTACGAATTGGGCTTTTACTATGCGCTTGCGGTTGGTTGCTTTGTATAAATAAAATAGAATATTTTTGCTTTTGCTTCGCTTCGAATAATACATGCCATATACATACATATTAGAAAATGCTCGATTACGACTCTCATAACTTATGGTTCGACGTTAACCAAATGAGGCCTTCGGACAGGCCATCGCCGGATGTGGCACATGATGGTTGTACATACCAATTGCGATCTCTTATTCTAGTTAAACCTAGTTTTTCCTGGATTTCATGGGGTTTCATTGCTGCAACAGAGAAGGAGGCGTTAGTGGGTTTAAAGCATTTTCGAAGGACAGTAGTTACCATCAGGCAGATCCTGTTTGTTAGCAAATATCAGTATGATGGCGTCGCGCATCTCTCTATCGTTAATTATCCTATGCAGCTCCGTGCGTGCCTCGTCTATCCGATCCCGATCCGCACAGTCCACCACGAAGATCAGGCCCTGTGTACCCGTGTAGTAGTGCCGCCAGAGCGGTCGAATCTTATCCTGCCCGCCGACGTCCCAGACATTGAACTTGACGTTCTTGTACGTGACGGTCTCCACGTTAAAGCCCACAGTGGGTATCGTTGTAACTGACTGCCCGAGTTTCAGTTTGTACAGGATCGCTGTGAGAAGTCAAAAGATCAGGTATTAAGTTGATTGGCTTTATGTACAAAAGTCCTGGTTAGTTTAATTTTATGGCAATCGTAGTAGGTTTTATGGGCAAAAAATAATTTATTAAATCTTTAATTATACTCACTTGTTTTTCCAGCCGCGTCCAGTCCAAGCATTAAAATTCGCATTTCTTTGTTGCCGAAAATTTTTGATAGTAGCTTTCCCATGGTGCTGATGTGTCATCCATTAAACCTTAGCCAATCTGAAATAAGGGAGTTGACAAGAAGGGGTTTCGAATGAGCATATCGATACGGTGGCAGGGCGGGATTCAGGGCAGGGTCAGTGAATTTCCAGATAATAGTGCCATTGTAATACAGTTTGCCGTACTGGCAGTTAACATATCAATTTATGATATAAGAACGCCGACGCGCGAAGGCGCGTAAGTGATATATGCATACATATGCACACCCATCGCACATCGGGACATACAAACACGGGAGGCCATATAGAGCTCCAATCGACGGCGGAAGTTAAGAGCATTATTTTGCATAATAATTTCACTTACATTGTCGGCTCATCGCTAACAGTGAAAAAGAAAGAAAGAGGCAGAATTTATCAGTGAAGAGCTTCCACACACACACTCACATAGCCACACATATAGCTAGTACAATTGGACAGATAAACACTATAGTGTCTCGTAAATTAAGGCAGAGTTATCTCAATTGCGGACTTATCGCTGGCTCCACTGAATGGGTGGGTGGATTGACACCGCCTCCACGTCCCGCCCCGATAAAGCCGGCTTGAGCCTCGATATCGGATGGTTTGGATTCTACGGAATTTCGCTCGCTCTCTCGCTCGCTTGCCTAACACGTCACAAACACGCCCGTAACATATACACACATATACACACCCAAGTTTCTGACGACCGCCGTTACGCACCGCTTTCCAGCCAAAATCCTTCCACGCCGGCCTAAAATCCGTTAACATCAAGTGCCCAAGTGCGGTGGCCAGGCATAAAATGCATTTGCAACCACACGACGGCCAAAAAACTATAACTAACAACAACAATTTTGCACTAATCTTCTTGTATTTATATACACATACACGAAGCAATGTGACCGTCGACCAAGAGCATGAGTAGTCTTGGGGAATAATAGAAAAAGCGTTAAATAACGACATGAGCGCTATCAAAAAAATACCAGAATATACTAAATACCCATTTGAGTCGGAGCTACTTGGGACTTGTTGGTATTCACGGTTTAGTTTATTAATTTAAACTCAGGTTCTTTCAAAATATGTAGCTGTTTTAATTTAAAAATTAAAAGACATTCACAGAAATAAATACATATGTGTAATTTATTAAAAAGATTTTAAATTCAAGATATGAAGAAGTGAATTTTGTGGTATATTTAACTAACCTCCTAACGTGGTCACACTAAACCAATGATTGAAATCAACTCGATTGATTTCAACTCCTGTCGCCAAATTGTTTGATTTTCGAGCCGTACTTGCGATACCTGACTCTGTTAACATCACAGAGGGAATAATGGAATTGAGTTAGTCGTCGAGCAGCTCGGACTCCGAAAACATGGCTGGTATTTGTCCCCGGGAGGCGGTTCGGGTGAAAGTGAAGGCAAGCGAGACAACAAAGGTTTTTGAAGTGACCCCCTGACAAACCTCTCCGAAATTTCCACAGAAATGCGAGCCCACTGCTCGACCGGAGTGGCGCAAATTCTCCGTGGACCCGCAGATCACTACGCTAGAGGTTCTCTACTCCCTACTGGCCAAGGCCTTTGATGTTAAGTCGGACTTCTCCATCAAGTACAAGGCCTTCGACCCCGCTGGGAATGAGATCTACCTGGCCGTGCGCTCCGACTGGGATCTGGACGCCGCCTTCCTGCGGATCCACAACATATCCATTCAGACGGCCTCTGAGCCCTGCCTCATTCTGCAGATCGACGTGAAACCCTTCACGGTGGTCCGCGAATGCGAGACGGAGGCTTCGCCAGGGAGATCCTCCTCGGGAGCACCTGCTGCCGCCACTCCTGCTCCATCTGCGCCCGCCCGAGAGTTAATGTCGCCGCTACAGACCCTAGGGGTCTCCCAGAAGTACGTGCAGCACATGCAGACCAAACTTGGAAGTTCCATCTTGAACCAAATGGAGAAGACTTTCTCGATTGTGCAAAAAGCCTTTAATCTATCGGAGGAGCATATGGCGAATCTTCCACCGCGACCGCCCATGTGCGACAGCGAGTTTCGGTTGTTCTTGGACGCCCTTGGCCAAATTCAGCGCAAGGATGAGCTGCACAGAGTAATCTTCTTGGGCGGCATTGATCCCAGCTTGCGGCGAGTGGTGTGGAAGCACTTGCTTAACGTTTATCCCGGCGGCGTGAATGGTTTAGCTCTGGATGGCCACCAGCGAATGGAATTTATGCGTCGGAAGTCGGAGCAGTATTGCCGTCTACGGGACACCTGGAAAGCAGCCGTAAAACGAGGCAGTGTAGCCGGCGAACTGGCTTACGTGACTAGTATGGTTAAGAAGGATGTGCTGCGCACGGACCGTCTGCATCCGTTTTATGCAGGCAGCGACGACAATCAGAATATCGCGGCGCTCTTCAATATCCTTACGACGTATGCTCTGAACCATCCGACAGTGTCTTATTGCCAGGGTATGTCGGACATCGCCTCCCCGCTGCTGGTCACCATGAACGATGAGGCGCAAGCCTACATCTGCTTCTGTGCCATAATGTCGCGGGTGCGGGGAAACTTCATGCTGGACGGAATTGCGATGACGCAGAAGTTTGCCCATCTTACAGAGGCGCTTAGCTTTTATGATCCAGAATTCTGGGAGTACCTTAAATCGCAGCAGGCAGACGACCTACTCTTTTGCTATCGCTGGCTTCTCTTAGAGCTGAAGCGGGAGTTTCCCTTTGAGGATGCCCTGCGCATGTTAGAGGTTCAGTGGAGTTCGCTGCGCTACAGAAGCGATGGAGAAAAAGAGCTACCGCTCTTCGAGAAGGTTAGTAAAGGAATAAGTAATAAAAAACATTTAAAATCATTGATATTCTTCAGGAATTTGTACCTATTGCGGATGGCTCCATGCCAAACAGCGCCAGCACATTTTCCAGCTCTTACAGCGCGACGCCGACCAGCCCTTCTTATCTCCTGACTAAACCGCGTGAGAATCCCTACACCAAGGTGTGTGCCCTGCGCCGTCAAAGCTCCTCCGCCTCTCTCAGCTCACTCAGTTCATCACTAGGAGCCACTAGTCACGCCCTGGACAATACGAAACGGCTTAATCTCAGCCTCGATGACAATATGTCGCGACATGCGTCCGCTGCTGCTCGCCGCCATAGACGCACTTCGTCCAAGGTCCATCAGAGTCTGGATGAATCTAAAATGTTGGCGCTGATTGAGGGCGCCATGGAGAATACGAACGCCAAGTGTACTCTGGACTTGTCCGCCGGTGAGGAAACCGAGGACGATGATGTGTTTGATAGAAAGGAGTCGCCTAGCTTTTTGGAAACCAATCCATTTAAGGACGATGCGCAAAGAGCACCGGAAAAAGTAAATGAAATAACACCTCCTGTCTCGCCAGGACGGGCCTTTCTCTACAGTTCGACATCCTCCAATCTGGACGATGAGTCTAGCGAAATAAAATCGAAGCTGCAGCACAAAAACATTTTGACCGTGAGCAACATCATTGCCAAGCAATTGGTCACAAATGCCAACCAAGTTAGCGAGAGCGTCAAGCGAGTAAGCAGCTCCGGTGGAGGACATTTTAAAGATCTCAAAGAAAAGTTGGCGGCGACCAGTCGCATCGGGCTGTCCTTTGATGGGGATGGGGAAGAAGACAGCGAACGAAAGATGCCGCCAAAGCTTGTAAAAAACTTCAACGAATTCCTCAATTTCGCAACTATAAACAAGAACCGTATATCAGATCGTTTCGCCACACAGCCACAACAGCCAACCGCTCCAACTTCGGTCTCTAAGCCGCTGGTACAACTCACCAAGAGCGGGCTGGGAAGCTCCCTGGACGAGTCAGATTCCTCCTCGGTGCCGGAGACCAGCTGGAGCGCCTCTACAGCCGCGACGGCCATTCAGCAGGCGCAGGAGCTGAGCAGCTACAACCTGCAGCTGGATCTTGAAAGCAACCACACTTGCGAACCGGACGACACGAACACGCCGGATCAGGATCAGGATCAGGATCAGGACCCCGACCAGGAGTACTATCCCATGACGACAGCAATAACGCGTGAGCTGCGTTTGGAGGCGGAGAATCTTGACCGTCAGGTTTTCGGGCTGCCATTCACGGAGAGCGAGAAGCGGGATGACATTGAGTACGAGAAGCTAGACAAAGACGCTCTAGACCTGGTGGAGGATCTGAAGGAGAACGAGATTATACCCTGTCCCGATGTCAGCGAGCTTCACATGCGTCGTCGCCAGCGACTGGCGGCCAAGAGCAACAGCGTCCAGCAAAACGAGTCGCATGCCTTCAACCCTTTCATCGACGAGAGTCAGCTTCTGCTGGATGGGCACACTCCGCTGGGCATGCGCAACAGCAGCAGCCTACCGGAGGTGATCCTGCCCATTTCCACGGAGCCCAGCCTGGTGGAGGTCTCGCCTTTGGTAGAGATTGCCACGAATGCGGACGATGAAAGCGCCTACACGCGATCCCCTCAGCGGTCAACCCAACTCAATGGAGTCACTGGACTGACTGCCACGGCAGCAGCCCTTCCTCCGCCCTCGGAATTCGGTGGCGGCAATGCCTTCCTCATGTTTCTGTGCCTCACTTTGCTGTTGCAACACCGCAACACGATCATGAAGGCGGGCATGGACTACAACGAGATTGCGATGCATTTCGACAAGATGGTGAGGAAGCACGATGTCACTCGGGTGCTCAACCAGGCCAGGCGCATGTTTGTGGAGTACCTCAAGGCGCAGAGCAGCCCGCAACGCCAGCGGTCTCCCAGCGGACCAGCTGCCACTCAATCGACTGGTGGTAACTTGACCACCTCGATGCCAGCGTAAGATAAAGATAACTCCAGCTTCAGTGACACCATAGTATTTCCAGAGTTTGGACTATCAGTTGAATTAGCCAACTTCATAAGTATCTACCTCCTCTTGAAGTTGTACATCTGCTTCCCGATTTTCATTATATTATTTGACTAACCCAAAGCCATGACATTTCTAAGCTCTAAACTAGTTTTTTCTTGTTTGTTGCGGTGTCAAAAAAAACTTGTTCAGACCAGGCGGATTTAATGGAGTCTTGACTTGATAAATGCATAAACTCATAATTCCTACTTTATATTTATTAGTATTCTCGCTCAAGGTGGATGGCCGCAAACGCACTTGTTATTAAACCCAAGTGTAAAACCAAAGTTTTTTTTGTACGTAAACGGATTTTGTACTTTCTTATTTTTAGTTAAGCTTTTATTTGTATTTATTTATATACGTATCTGCAGTTTTGCCAAATGATGAAATTTCGTTAACCGCTTTATTTCACTAGTCTGCTGCAAGCAAAAATTGAAAATGTTTTCCGTCTTTTAAAATCATCTCAAAAATGTTTAGCTAATTAGCTAAAACCATCTCAAAAATGTTCAGCTAGTTAGCTTTTCTGAGAAAAATTCAGTCAAAAAATTAATTCTTTCCAAATAAAGGCGCTAGCAAAACGTGGCTCAGGTGGAAATCTAACAGTAGAAAACCTGGTCCGGCTCGACCAGTCGCCCAAAGAAACTGGACATTGTTTTAAGGAAGGCGACTTTTTTGTTAACTTTTATTTTACTAGTCTGCTGAAGCATTCCATGCTCTTGTAAAGATTATATTTCAGTTTTGAATACACAGCGTATTATTAATTAATGCAATTAAATTGAAAGAAAACCTTTAACCCAATTTACTATGATCTTATTATCTCTAAACGTTCTGTAACCTATAAATCTATAATCTGAATCGGATAGTAATTTTGTAAATTAAAATTGAAACCAAATGGTTAGAGTTAACGATTATGCTATATATGAAAACCAACTTTTAAACAATCGATCAATAAACTAATTCGAAATAATCACAAGTGGACAATTTATTGGAATCATAATATTTTTCAAGCACAAAAAAAATCAAGACAAATTTAAACAAAGCAATATAGAACAAATCAAAGGAACAGATATTTAGAAGTTGTATTTTTTCTTGAGACGCTCGCGTATTAGGACACCCTTGATTAATTTTTTCCAGTTCCCGTAAACACGAGTCTCGTACTTCTCCTGCTCCTTGCGCGCCTGCTCCTGCTGGTCCTCTTCCCAGGCAGCTTCGACCACTTCGCGGAACTCCTCGCAAACAATGAAGCCGTCGTACATGGGATGACAAGCGCCCTGATGAAAATCGAAGCCAATCACCGCATTGGCACAATCAATGTTTAGCTTCTTGCAAACGCGCATTAAACCAGGCACTGAAATGGAGAGTGAAGTTTAATATGATGCATTTTTGAATGAAAGAATAGCAATTCTTACATCTCAAATGCACTGTCTTTTTGGGCAGCATGCAGGCCTTAAAGAGCTCCACGTTTCCATAGGCATTACGAGGCACGATTCCATTCTCTGCAGTGGGTGGTTCGTATTCCTGCGTTTGCCAGTAGCCAAAGATCTCCAAAGGCTGGTCCTTGATGACGGAGCGAGTCAGCTAAAAGATAATCCCCTTTTAATATTGCATTAATCTTGGAGGAATCACTTCTTACCTTGTCCCACTTGGGACGCGCTTTGACCACCTTGTACGGCTGCTCGCCCAGCTTCACAACACGAGCACTCTTTAACCAAATTTCACGCGAGTGCAGGAGATGAACGCAGTCCCTGGAGTACACAGCTTCCCCACGGATGAAGCCCAGGGTGGGCGCATCCGGTGGGTATAGGCCCTGGAACTTGAGCAGGTGCCGTTCGAGCACGTATAGCGGGTGGTCCTTGAACTCGGAAATAGACTTCGGCAGGGGTTTGTCGGAATGGATGCGACGCAGTTGCTCATCCTCAGTAATGTCGCGTTTGGTGCGACGTCCCAAATAAGGCGTGATGGCTTCGTCCAACCAGGCTTTTTCCACTCGCGACTTGCGCACGGTGGTACTCCAACTGGCGCAGTAACGGGCGGTCACATCCTTGATGCTCTGATCGTCCTGAAAGGCAAAAACGTAGGCCAATCCGGGGGTGGCATTTTTCTGCAAAGGAGGGCAAAATAATAGGTGGCTTAGTTATAGAATTTAGAAGTACTCACCCTTATAGTGTCCACGCAGTGGAGCTTGCCCTTGAACAGGTCTATGCAGATCCACTGCTCCTCCACCTCGGACCACACTTCCACCCACATATCGGAGGCGTCTGTCCGACGCTTGACCCTTGAACCGCCCTCGTCATCTGTGGACATCACCCGCCGATCTTTGCGCAGGTTTTGCACTGACTTGGGCAGGACTGGGGCCTTTTTCACTGGCTTAGCGGACTCAAAAACCTCGTCAGAGTCCTGCGAGGTGTGCAGCTTCTCTAGCTTCAAACGCTTTTTGGGCAGCGGAACATCGTCGCCGCCATCCAGTTGGGGAATGGCCAGATTACTAGACTTTTGACCTCGAGTCCGGAGTTGCCGACTTGGCATAGTTTCGGTTAGAAAACTAGGTGATATTCGGACCTTGGTTTCTGGGACCTTTTGGCTTTTTTGTGGCGGCTGTGGATTGGGTTCCACTGTAACAGCCTTGCCCCCAAGAAAAGTGGGCGAGATATGGACCTTTGGCGATTTGCTGCGCGATCGAGTTATCCGAGTACTGTGCTGTTCCTGGGAATGCTTCTCGGTTGGACTAGCGTTCTCCGCATCACTGTGCTTGGCATTCAATTGCTTCACCTTGGACAGCACCAGTTTGGGCAGGACTGGAGATCCAATTGTCTGCGGCATATCTTCGATTTTGGGTTTTACCACAGCTCTACGTGTACGCCCAGCCACTGGCGAAAAGATATCTAAAGGAGCTATCCTGGCTTTCTTGCCATCGCCTGATTCAGCAATGTTTTGAGTGGTGACCCTTTTTAACAGGGTCGAACCTGGTTTAGCTTTCTGTAGAGTTGGAGAACTTTTAACAGCTGTCTTCGAGGTGCTTGGTTTTTCTTCAAAAGATGTATCGGACTTGCTGTAACTTTGGGATGCTTGACGTTTAGATTTCTCACCCAATTTGGAGGAAAGGCTCGGCTTTACATCCTTCTTATCCTCTTTTTTGACTGCACTTGATTTGATAGTTTCTGTACCACTTCTTGAGGATTTGGAGAGGGAAGAGGAAGTGGGCTTTTCCTCGAAAGAAGTGTCCGACTTGCTGGAACTATGGGATGGTTGATGCTTGGATTTTTCAACCAGTTTGGAGGAGAGACTTAATGGTTTAGAAGCTTTTTTATCCACTTTACCTGCACTTGATTTGACTGTTTCTAAATTTTCCTTAATGGGTTTGGAACTGGAAGATGATTTACTGGCAGTTTTAGTGCTCTCTTTCTTCGCAACTTTCTCAATGCTCTTCTTGTCAGCCTCTTTGGAAGCAGTTGACTTATTACTACCACTTTCCTTCTTTGAATTTGCTGGCTTAGACGGCTTTTTATGTTTTTTGTGCTCATTATCCTCGCTCTCTTCTTCGGAATCCAATGTTTGGCTTTTGTTCTTTTCGTCCGGCTTAAGTTTAATTGGAATAAGGTCGCTTGCCGACGGACGCAGTGGCATTGGCTGAAGATTCACAATAAGCCGACAGTTCATTCCCATTCCCCGCGCAAGAACAATAAATATGAATACCATATCCTGCTTGCAGCGGGCTTCCTTGCGCTTGATCTGCTCTAGCAAAGACGCCAAAATTGACTTCTTGCTGGCCGCCGATTGCTCGGAATATAAATTGGGACTGATCAGCTTGATAGCCGTCTTAAACCAGGTGACAAACGACTGCAGATACTTAAGTTCCGTGCCCCGTTCCGTGGGATATGCGTTTCGACTGGGCAGGAGTTTCAGGGCAGCCTGCATCAGGGCATCCGACTCGCCCAGCAGGCGGTTGTAATTCAAGCTACGGGCTATCTGGCACATCAGACTGACCTTGTGCAGCAGCAGCTGGCGATCCTTGATGTCCCGATTGAGGCGGCGCTTAAGCGCCATTTCTAGTTCGTGTTGGGTCTTTTGCTCCTTGGTGGGACGGAGTCCCTGGAGGCCCACGTGGATCTCGAGGTCGCCGGAGATGTTTGGCGTTCCGCCGTCGTCCTCTTCGCTGGAAAGAGCCGCATCTGGAAAGGGAACAGGAATGGGGTGATGATGACGCACTGAACTGAGTGATAAGAAGTGATGGGAAGGGTTTTGTTATACAGAGAGGTGTATGAATAATAAATATAACCAATGAATTGAAAATCTACAATATTTTAGGGAAATTTAAGAACCCTTCGCACCACAGATGATAATGGGGTGTTACGGTCAGGAAGGGCTTATTAAAAACACCCAGACAGAGAGCATGGAGTCCTTTCAACATTTTGCATTTATTTATTTATATCATTTAAAGTGCATTTTAAATTTCAATTACTGAGTTAATTACAATCAACATTCACTAAATTGCGCTAAAATTACGAGTTTCCTTTGATTTATTGCATTGTTTATAAGAGTATATCATTAGTTAATTAGATTTCATACTCTGCATGCAGATGTTTATGTTAAGTGAATACAATTTTGCTAAAGTAAATTCGTTAAACATCAGTTCTAATTTGTTAGCTACTTGTTAAATTCTGTGAAACACTTGCAATTGCCATAAAGTAAGTACTCAAATAGTTGACTAGGCCATTCGACCAACTATTAAAAATTGTTATATTTTTTACGGGTTTGCGTTTAAAATCTCCTTGTATTTGTGTTTCATTGTTTTGATTTGGTTAACTGGAGTCTTGTGGACTTTTGTCTTGTTTTGCATGGCAAACAGAAATTGAAAACTCACCAAAACAATTAAAATAAATGCATTTTCTGAGTAAAGTATCCTTGAATAACATATTATTTTGAGGTGTATGTGCAGACATTTAAGCCACGTTTAGAGTACGGTAAACATTTACTATATGCTTTTCATTTTTCATTCATAAAACACGCAGATTGAGCTTAAGCTAGTGCAAAAACGTTTAGAATTGTTGAGTTGATTCGATTTGATTTAATTTGACGATTAAAATAAATTCTGATTTGAGTTTAACAAGCTTTTATGGTAGGTTTTCCATTTCATTTTCAATCGATTTTCCTTATTTATTTCGCGGACAACTGAGTAAAATGCCGCAGGGATCTGAATTGGCTTTGGCATCTCCTAAACTAGGGCATGCATCAACGGACTCATGGCCGGGTTATTGGGTATAAATAGGTTAGTAAGCCAAGTTTCTGGATAAAGCGTTCTCAGCAAGAGCTACCTCACACGCTAGTTTCTCAGTCTAGTAGACTAACAATATGTTACAGTAAATAGGTATATCGTAGATTCTTGGCCATTATTTTGACGCGGCTCTTCCAAATATACATTCATCAATACTGTTGCGGTCAAAATAAAAGCATATCGAAATTAAGCACTTTTTCCCCAGCACGATTCCAAGTTTCTAGCAATAAAATATCGCTTTTAAATTAGATTCATACAAAAACAGCTTGTAAATTAATTTGGTATACAAACTTAGGTAAAATCATGCTCTTATTGTGACCGCAGCTGTACAGGTCGGTTAGTAATTTCTATCTTCACATCGACGAATAAACTTAGTACAAACAAAACTACACAGTCTCATACAGAGCAATTTGGAAGCTTATTTTTGTTCATCAGATACCAGAAATGCCAGCGCCACAACCACAACTTTGGGTAAGCATGCTCCACTGCCTCCTGCCACGGCTATCTCCGTCTCCCTGGAGCCAAACTACTTGCATTTTCGCCTACCTGCCACTTCCTCAAAATCGGAATCATCGGTGTCGCCGGCAGTGGCGACCACAGTAGACACGGGTCGGGTCTTGGTGTGACGTTTGATCCTCGTCGACTTGGTTTTGCTCAGGCGCGACGGCTCATCCAGGCTTGGCGGCACTGCCGTTGCTTCTGCACCCCTTCCTGGTTTCCTCCGCTGGTTCCCCTCCTGTTCCTCAACCACTACGCTCTGGTAGTTCTGGTTCTCGCCCAATGCAAGCAGCGCATTGACATCCGTGGTGGCAGCCTGGCTTCGCGGTGGAGTGGCCGTGACATTCCGCTTGCTGAGGGCATCCCGTGTGCGCTCAAGCTGTTCGCGTTCTCCAGGAGACCGCGAAAGTCGAAAGCGTTGCCTGCCTTGTCCTCGAAGCTGCTCTCGTTGTTGTCCTCCGATCCAGAGCCGGAGTCCGAGAGATTCGTAATTCCCGCGTTGCAATCGAACTGGGGCGCCGGCGACTTTTCCTTCTGGCCACCGACAAAGAAGCTGGACTGCAGATCAAGTTCAGAGGGATTCACCAGGTAGTCTTCCACACTGGATTCGCTGCTGGAATCAGCATGATCGTGCTGATCCCGTGCACCGCTTTCATTGGGCGTTCTGGCGTTTTTTGAACCAGAAGCCCGGGGCGAGTTCTCCTGCTGCTGCGATGGAGAAGTGGTAAAGGTCTTTGGGGGCGGGCGGTACTTGTTGTACAGCTTTGAGCGGAGTGACTGGCCCGTAGGCTTGCGTTTTTTCACCGAGGAGCCCTTTATGCCGCTGGGAGGCTTGTGGTCGTTGCTGGGAAAGAGAAGAATTAAACAGGATAGTGGTGAATCCTGGTCCGGACCTCTCCGCATACTCACCCCCTTCTGCCTGCAGTAGCCGAGGATCGCCCACTCGAGCCAGCTGCTCCACCCTCCGCCTGTAGCTCATCGAAGTCGCTGTCGTCGTCGTCGGACGACTCGCCTCCCTTCGCGTCCTTGCTCGGCTTCCACTCGTCTTCGCTGGCCGAGAAGCCCTCGGACACGGAATCCTCCTCATCGTCGGACATCTTCCTTCGTTGCCTTTTGTTTGGGCGTTTTACATTTATGTACCGACGATGCGTGCCACTTACAGTTATTGATTTTTACTGCGCAGTTCTTCGGGGCACGCGTTACACAAGGATGTCCCTTTTGCGTTCACCTCCTGTCCAGCTCTTTTAATTTGACCTAAATCTATAGGATTTTTATGGTTTGCGCTGGTTTTTGAACAATTTAAATTATTTGCGAAATTCACATTTTCGCGCTTGGCAGAAAATAAGCAAAAACAGTTGTCAGGGTTGTCGGTGAATTGGCTTCTCTAAATGCTCCAGCAATAATTCCCTAAAAAATCCTATATTTTCGACCAAAACTTGGCGGGAACTATAATTGGTTTGGAGCTCGAATTCACCAGCTTTTTTTTTAATGAATTACAAAGTTACATCGCTTTTCCCTGTAAAACCTTTAACTAAGCCATATTTAGACTATTTTGTTAAGTGTAACTTAACAAAAATGTAGAAGCTAAGAACACTTTAATTCTATCGATATAATGGAAATCGCTTCAATAAAGCACTTTTCAACACTATTTTCCATCTGTTGTTTATTTACAAAATTTTATACAAATTACTAGCAAAATGAACTCTTCTGGAGAGCTGCATCCAAACTGGCTGGCACTAACCACCCTTCCACTACAACTAAAGCGCTTTGTTCGTGCAGGAAATCCGGATTTTGTTTCCGATTCCTTAAAAGTGACAAAACACCAAATTAATGGATTGAACGGAGAGGAGGCTCAGGAGTTCTACAAGGAGGTATTGGATGCTCCTGCTACCCCCCGAGTTCCAGTTCCAACTTCTAGCAAGGCGAAGGATACAAGGAGAGTCCCTAAGCAGCCCCAACTTCCATTTGATAAGAGCAAATTCTTCCGTTGGGCCACAAGCAACCAAGTGGAGAAGCTTTCACAAATGGAAATATCCGAAGAAAGCCTCAACTCCCGTGACTCCTTTGGCTGGACTGCCCTGATGATGGCTACCTGTGAGGGAGCCACTGAAGCTGTAGCTTGGCTTCTTCAGAAAGGTGTCGAAGTGGATATAGCAGACAAATCTGGGAATACAGCTTATAAGCTGGCCCAGCAAAAAGGGCACTCGGAAATAATAAATTTATTAGAAACAAAATCTTACACCGAAGCAGCGAGCGATGAAGAGGAATCCATGGATGTCAAGAGCCCATTTTACTGTGAAATCTGCAAAAGGGACTACAAGGAGACTCCCTGGCCAGTTCATCAAACCTCCACTGTGCATCAGTTCAATCTTGAAGCACTGCCCGCCCATAAACTGCACAAGTTTAATATATCTGCCAAGAACCGGGGTCTGCAGTTGATGCTCAAACAGGGCTGGGACCAGGAGCACGGACTGGGACCAAGTCAAGGTGGACGATTGTATCCTATAAAAACAGTTCTCCGCAAGCAACGAACAGGATTGGGAATCGAACAGCAGCCGGCGAGAGTTACCCACTTCGGGGCCTTTGATTTAAACGCTGTTAGAAGAAGGGCTCCCATACATCAGCCAAGGCGAACGCGGAATGATATGCAGCGGGAGAAAGTCAAGGAATGGAAACGGGAGCGTCACCTACGAAGGGAACTTAGCTAATTCTTATTAATAAGATTGTTTTAAAGTTTAATAGGAAGTTAGTTTAAGACTTAAACTTTAAGTTGTTATCTGAATTAACATGTTTGTCGACGTTTGTCGTTCAGTAAAGTTAAATCGACAGCTTTTTTACATATTTTCAAACAACACTTTATAAAGTTATCAACAAAACCATTTTTACATCGCTCTTTTTATAGAGGTTGCATTCTTAATTGTGATTTTTTAGTTAAGGTTTTAAGGTTTAATAAACCTTACAAGCTGAGAAAATACTCATATGTTATTTTGATCTCGGAATCGATGACCTTCGCCTCGCTAGTTGGTTACGCGATTAAGGATGCGGATAGTTTTGGTAAGAGGAGTGTGAGTTTCGGTTAATGCTGTTGCATGTGCTCTCTCCCTCTCTCATTCTCTTACTCTCTCCCTGACATCCTGACCCTGAGGTTGCGAGTTGACACGGTTTCCGCTTTGCGCCTGCGTCCTGCGGCTTCTGTGGCCCGCTTCGTGCCTTCATAACGGTATATAAGGAACTTCTCCGAAATCCTGCGCCCAGTTGTGTTCGGAATGCTGTAACGATAGGAGGTTCCCCTTTTTGTACAGTTAGCAAAAAGCGGCCGCGGAGTGCAATAAAAACAAGTGCTACCACTGCGTGTTTTAAAGTTGTACTCACACGGTCGGCAATTAAAAGTGGGAGTGCGGCGCCCAAGGTCGCCGGCAGCAGGCGTTCCACTTAGGTAAACAGCTTAAAGTGAATTAAAAAAGAACATGAAAAAACGTTTTGCTAAAGTAAAAGGATATTTTTTTAATTTAAATCGTTGATTCCGAAATTCGAAACCGTGACACTCCTGGCGGCCGATCAACACGAACAGCTGATTTTGAAAAAAAAAAAACCGATCCGAGGCTCGAACCAGGCCGATAGTGATGCGAAATTGGAGGGGAACTGGATTTTTTGAGGCATTTAATGAGTGATCCAGACAGTTTTTTTTTTGGGAGACTGTTTATCCCAACGCGTGCGGTTCGCTGCGCGCATTTAAATAAATTTTAAAATAATTAGCAAACATGCCGACGTCTTGCTAAACCGTTATCGTGTGCCAGTGCTTTTTTGTGTTTCGTGTGCTGTGTGTCCCCTTACCCGCTCCCTAAAAAACGCGCAATTGCGAAAAACGCAAAGCTGGCAAGAATTACACTAACTTCAGAATAATTAAACTAAATACGGCCATGTGATTGCACCGTGGGTGATAGTGATAACATAATGCTTACAAAGTCGTCGCCAATAACTCGATTTTTTCCCACGGATTAAGCAAAAAACAATATTATTTAATATACGCTCCGATGTTCTTGGTCTTTATGGTTTATTTTTGTAGCATTTATTTCGGTGATTTGTTTGGTTTGCATTGAACATGTACATATCGTGCTGCTCTCTTCGCGCACCCTCTCTTATTGTGTGTTGCCCTCTCGCTCTCCGATCGTCATTGCCAGCCTCCCCCTCTCTTTCTCCCACCCCCACCCCCTCCCCCTGTGATCAGGGCACTCTCCATGAACTTGTGTTGTGTTGGTTTTTATATGAGGCGTATTCAAAAGGGGTTTTCTTTCCATCCACCGTTAAAACGTTTAATTAATAATAATATATAAAAACTTTAAGCCAGCCTTTTATTTAAAATACATAATTTTATTAAATTATATAGGGAATACAGTTACCCTGCTAGTCAATTTAATACTGGTCTTCCGCCTCTGGCCCTTACCCGCCATTTCACTCCCATTAACCCCATTCGATTGTATTATTTTTCATAGACAACACAATGCTATAACCAGTCAAGTGCAGTGAGTCTGAGGCGAAAAAAGCGAAGTTGAATATTTTTATTTTGTCTCATTGATTCTCTGGAATGCTGCGGATCTGTTCCGGAGCTTGCGAAAACAAAACAGTCCCTTCTTAGTCATCTCATTTATTTACTAGTTGCGAATATGTTTTTCTTAAAACAGGTCTGCCTAGGTAAAATTTCCATCGGTTCATTAATTTTTTTTGTATGTTTACCTTTTACTTATAACGTTAAGACGTTAAGAAGAAATAGTTTTCCTAACCTTAACATAAAGATTTAAAATTTTAATCCAGTAATAATTCGAGAAAGTCACATAAGTTGTTGGTTCGAGCTAAAGAAGTTTAACTGTATTAGCAGAAGGCCCAGCAGATGCTATTTACTTCAGTGCTTGGGTGGAAACAAATCTCGTAAATCTTTAAAATCGTAAACCAAACAAATGCATAAGAGCCAAAATGAAAATGCTAAATGTTTATTATTGTAAAATAAACCAAGAGAGCCAGCCCGAAGAGCACAGAAATGAGATAAATGAAATGCCAAAACTTCCGGGTCATTGCCTGAACGCAATGCCAATGGCAATGGAAAAAGTCGAGATTTTCCACTCTGGGGGCTCTCTCCTTTCTAAGGGCCCTTCAATTTCCATTTTCCTTTGTGTTGCAAACTAAAACCAAATATCTCCGAGTAGTTAAAATAAATTGCAATCAAATGAAACTAAACAAACACACAGATATTATATTATTTGAAAATTCTTAATTGCTACACACTTGAAATACCTGCCGTATACGCGTAGATTGTTTATCCAAATACCCGGCCAACATTTTTCGGAGACCGACATAATAACCATTAAAGCAATTACAACAATTATAAACAACAATATCGAAATGAGCAATAAGAAACGCATGAACTTGAAAAACAAATTTAAGCATGCTTGAGCCAATATTCTGGCATCCAGGTCTTAACAGTGTCTATGAGAAAAGCGCCAAAAACAAAAGCACCAACATCAGCATTCGCGGATTTCTTCATTCAGCACCGACTATAAGCAGAGACAAGTGTTTCTGCTCCAGCGTTTTCCGCCTGACCGCGCTTTTCTTCGAGTTTCCTGAGTATTTTCCTAGGTAAGTACAGCTAGATAAATGCAAATTAATTTGCAGGGCGCTAAAACCGTTGTGACACAGTGCAAAAAAAGCTTGTAATATTTTCTGAAAAGATTTAGTAAATTGAATCAAAATAAAATATGAAGAGTGGTTAAATACTAGTAAAATAGTTAAGTTAATTTTTGAAGTTTTTAAAGGATTAAAATAGTTTTAAAATGAGTCCCTATTTTGTCCAGGTGTTCGTTTACATGTAATTGGCAGGACGATGGACTAATATAACATAAATCTCTTGCCTTCAGGAATTTTCTAATATCGCGAAGGTGTTGCATACCAAACGTTGCTTGAAATGAGCAATTTGTGAAAACTTTCGGCATAAATTGCTGCCCAAAATCTCCACCCCTTGAACGACGCCCATGGAAGTGAGTGTGTCAGTGGCAGGCGAAAAAATTAACAGAAATTAGGCCTGAAGTTTGTTGGCAAGCTCGCAAATGTGTTGTGGCTTAAAGGGATAAAGAGCTTTGCGTAGAGCAACAGCAGTAATTAACATTAATAAGACTGGGGCTAGTGGTAAAGAAGTTTTCTTTGGAATTTTCGGGCAGACAGACTGACGACTGGGTGACGGGTCCCACATTACTCACTTACCCAAGACGTATGCATGAGAGTTAGTGGGACGGCCCAACTTTTCAGACAACTGTTCTCTATTTTTTCCCGCTTTTTCCAAGGCCACGCATTTTGAAATATGTCCATAAATTAGAAATAATGTGCGTGCGACTTGTTAACACGCCTGGTGGAAGGTTCTTTAACAAACACAAAGCACGCACAAACTTTGCCCAGCGAAAGTTTAACCCCGAAAAGTGTCCTGTTGTGGCCAGTGTCAACATTTCAATAGGCTCTTAATTGCCCCATGAAGGGCTTGACATTCCGTAGAGTGGCTACAACAAAAAGATTGATACATTAATTAAGCCCGGGCCATGAAAACTCCTGCCCGATTTTCCCCTTTTCGGCGGGCTGTCATTGTTGCCGGTCTTAATTGGCTTTCCCGGGAGTGGAAAAGGTCAGCGAAGTTTGATTAAATTTCTTTAAAAAGCTTAATTGAATCCTGATTACGGGCTGAGCCAGCTTCCTACGCAACTACGGGCGGGCAACTATCGGAAAATGCGAAAAATCCCCCGGTCGTTTGGCGACGTTTTATTAACGTGCCATTGACTCTCGAGACTAAATGTGGCAAGAATGTCAGTCAGTCAGTCGAAGCGGAGGAGGCATTCGATTGAGCGTGTAAAAGTGGCTCAGCAAGGCGACATATACGGCTAGAAGGATGCCAAAACTTGTGGCAGCGGCAACAAAATCCATTGAAGCGCGAAATCGACTTAATGCATTAGTCTCCGGGAGTGGAGAACGTCAGAAAGACACGTAGAGCAAACATTTGCGGCTTACGAGTGCGAGTGAATGCGTGGGTGGCCTGAACGGCGGAGTCTGGAGTGCGGAGTCCTCGGATAGGTGAGCATAAAGCCCGGCGGTATAAAATTGAAAATTATGACAGGCTGTTGGCAACAATGTCATCGTGAATATGGCGCACACTGCAGCGCCTCTAGAAGTGGCAACAAAGACTGGCTGGCGAAATGGCTGACAAAATCCTGGCCGTGACAAAAAGTGGACCCCAGACTTCGCATATTCATATCGCCTCATTGCTATGCAAGTTGGTAAACTTAAGAATCCGACAACAACAGACAACGAGCGGCAATAAGAACGTCAACAAGTCGCAATAAAACACAGGCAAACAAAACTCGCAGCCAGACAGAGATGGCAGAGCATACAGATAGAAAGCTACAGATAGAAGCTACAAGATACTTCTGCACCCGTGGTGGATTCAGATACAGATACGTCTGAACGACAGGGCAAACAGAAAACTTAAGGTTCGCAAGATGAGTTTCCTGATTAAGATGAGTACACTGAAAACTAGAAGCACACACACCCCGGTTTTAATGAATTGCGTCATAGAGCAGGAGAATCTTGTCGTACTTAAACACCCTGTCAAATTGATTTATCCCAGGCGCGTAAATTTACTTAAATCTCTTTTTAAAATGTAAACAAATAAGCCTTCCTGTTGTTTACCAATAATTCGCTTAACAGTAAAGTACTTATTGCACGAAACTTTGATTGCAATAATTAATTTATTTGCGGCTTAAGCTTCATTGCAGTTAATCCCTTTATCGACAGAGGCCTCCAGTCACTTTACTATGCTCTCATCCGAAAGGTTTTTGACTTGGGT